AAAATGTGTGGGAGGAGTAACAGAAGGTTTTCAGGTAAGAGTAAGAGTGCATCAAGGTTCTGCTTTAAGTCCTCACTTATTTTCTATAGTGATGGATGAAATTACTTTATGATGTAAAAACTAACAGATATTGGCTATCATACTCATCTAAACTTAATTCAATTGTTTCCCATGTATGTTTTTTCTGAACATAATAAACACAAAACTGTAACAATATGAACTTGATTGCCAATAACTGGCATTTGTATCCTATGTCCCTTTTAATGTTTACTTGATTATAATAAAATATGAACTTTTTGACCATTCGTTTATTTAGGTAAATTAGACTAAAATTTTTATAGAAATGGATATAAATTCGCTAAATTTCTGGTAGAATAAAAATGTAAATTGTGTAGACAAAACCTCCCAACCAAACAACTATGGTTGCAAGCTATATTTTAATAAAAATGATGTGCTTGAATGAGCTTTGGAAATTTTACTTTTTATAAATAAAATTGATATTGAAGAAAGAAGAGGTAAGTGAAGACCAAAAAAGAGATGGAGAGATGTTATTAAATGCAATATGATGTGGGAGATCGTGTCAAGTGGAAATTTAGGATAAGGTTAGCCAACCCCTAGTATTTTGGATTAGGGCGAGGAAAAAGAAGACTGATTAAATTTGATACCGATAGAATTGATATTAGTCATATAAGTATATAATTATACTTAAAAACCCAACACAGTGGAACACGACACAGTTGGTACAATTTTAGATGATATCTCACGATGATTAATATAACTATCATAAAAAAAAAAACCCAGCACAAGGGGGTCGCGGCACAGTGGTGACGTGGTATAGATGGATCAAGTATTATGATATCCGACAGTGATTAAAATCACAAAAAAAAAAATAACGCTTCGATGCAAATCTTTAGATACTGTTTTATTTTAAAAAATTGGTGGACTATTCCAAAAGCTACATGATCTGCTAGTTCATTATTAATATCCTAATTAAGATAAAGTATGTCGAATGAAAAAAGGATTATTAAAAAATATTATTTCTCATAAAAAAATAAGTTGATCCATACACTTTTCAATATATTATAGTATTATAAAGTTAAAAATGAAAAAAATAAAATTGAGAATTTTCACACAATAATAGCATTTGGTAGCCATTTTCACCATAAAGGCAAAATAAAGTCTGAAATTTTTTTTTTGCATAGTAAAGTAAATTACATAAGCTTTAATTTAAGATATATATAAAAGTGTCAGACCTTCCGGAACACTTTCAAAATTTAAGTTGAAAAAGTTCTACTTTCTACATGCATTTTTTAGATTTGAACCCCCCTCGTATATAGGGAAATGGTCCGATTTAAAAAAACAGTATGTCAAATGAAAGATGTATATGAATACTACTCCTCATAAAAACTGCAATAACTTATTCAAAAATGATCATATCATTATAATTATTTTTTTTTTTATAGATGCATGATATCATTACCTTTTATTTGGTATATTTTTTTTATAAATCTGACCATAGACCTGCCCACAGGGGGGGATTTGTAATGACAACTTTTTCACAAAAAATTAATTTTTTAACTTGACTTTTGAAAATGTTCCGGAAAGTCTAACACTTTTATATATATCTTAAATTGAAGCTAATGTAATGTTCTTTATTAAGCAAAAAAAAAATTTCAGACTTTATTTTATCTTCACGCTGAAAATGGCTACCAAATGCTATTTTTGTGTGAAAATTTTCGATTTTGTATTTTACATTTTTAACTTTATTATGCTATAACTTTTTGAAAAATGTATGGATCAGTACAATTTTTTTATGAGGAGTAGTATTCATATAGATCTTTCATTTGACATACTGTTTTTTTAAATCGGACCATTTCCCTATATACGAGGGGGGTTCAAATCTAAAAAATGCAAGTAGAAAGTAGAAATTTTTCAACTTAAATTTTGAAAGTGTTCCGGAAGGTCTGACACTTTTATATATATCTTAAATTGAAGCTTATGTAATATACTTTAATTTGAAAAAAAAAAATTTGACCTCTGGACTTGTCTTCGCGGCGAAAATGGCTACCGAATGCTATTTTCGTGTGAAACTTCTCGATTTTATTATTTATATTATATTTAACTTTATAATGCTATAACTTATTGAAAAGTTTATGGATCCACACAATTTTTTTATGAGAAATAATATTTTTTAATAAACCCTTTTTCATTCGACATACTTTATCTTAATCGAGATATTAATAAGGAACCAGCAGATCAAGTAGCTTTTGGAATAAAACACCAATTTTTTTAAAATTAAACACTATCTAAAGATTTGCATCGAAGCGTTTTTTTTTTATAGTGATTTTAATCACTGTCAGATATCATTATACTTGATCCATCTATACCACGTCACCACTGTGCCGCGACCCCTTTGTGCTGGGTTTTTTTTTTATGATAGTTATATTAATCATCGTGAGATATCATCTAAAATTGTACCAACTGAGTCGTGTTCCACTGTGTTGGGTTTTTAAGTATAATTATATACTTATATGACTAATATCAATTCTATCGGTATCAAATTTAATCAGTTTAAACTGATTAAAATTAATATCTTCTCAGCTTCGCATCGAAGCTAAAATGAATGTTAAAGGAAGAAGAGGTAAGTGAAGACCAAAAAAGAGATGGAAGGATATTATTAATTGCGATATAAGGAAGGCTGATGTGGGAGATGTGTCAAGTGGAAGTTTAGGATAAGGGTAGCCGACCCCAAGTAGTTGGAATTAAGTCGAGGAAGAAGAAGAAGAAGAAGAAGAAGACTCATATAAAAGGAAAATACAACAATAACTGACCACACAATCAACGGTACAAATATTAATAAAAACAACAATACTAATGAATACTCATAAAAATGACAATGTCTAACGTAGTACAATATAGTAATAATAACAATTTTACTGCGCAATGATCGTACGTTGACTTCTTATCGGAGTTCAAACTTTAATATCTTGCGTTACCTGTTTCTCTCGTCTATTTTCGCTAACAAACCAAATACGCTTTTTCTTTTTGAGCTGAAAGTTGCGAAATTTAAAAAAACCGACAAAGTAATAACGTAAACCTAAAAATACTAATGTTTACACCAAAAAAAATGGAAAAACATACATGTACTATATGAAAAACATAAAGAATTTAAATCAAAAAACTTCTTTTTTTTTTTTTACTTTACTTATTTTAAGGAAATAATAATAAGAATAAAGTCACATATTACCGATCCAAAACGAAAATAACTACTAAGGGCTTTCACATGTCTCAAATACAAAAAAACACGCTACTGCTACCAAATGTTATGCCACCGACTCGTTAAACCTCTGGGCCGGGGCATTCAGTATTTTCACCTTATGGATACGACTTGAATCTTAAGAAACTAAATGTAATGACAATACTTTTCAATATTAACAGAATAAATGTAAATTTATTATCGTTAATCACAATATTACATAAATTACTATACCGATATTACAACACAAATTAAATATAATATATTTAATTTATGTAACTATATATATATATATATATTATATATATAGTTTATATGCAACCTGATTAGTTCATTTGTCCGTCCTTACAAAAGGAAAACGAACGTTCTCCATGACATGGACCAGCGGATGGACATCCAAAATTTCTTTTTGTTACCAAAACCATTATCACGGTTCAGCTGTGGGCCCTCAAGTTGAGGCACTCCACTATACGTCATAGGATTGTTCACGTAGCGCTAGACTCGCTCGTCGTATACACACGCACTACAATTTATATTGTGTTAATAGCTGGTGCGCAAGTGGCGCTGCATTTGATCGGCGGCCAAACACAAATTTTGCAGTAAGAAAAGGTTTAATAATTAAGAGCACAATGTTCCCACGTAAAGATATATACAAATATACTTGAGTGTCGTCGGATGGGAGACACAAGAACCATATTGAAAGGGCTACTGGTCTCGCAAGGCCTTAACTGGTAAAAGAACAGAAACAATTTTTCCTATAATGACAGATGAATATTAATAAAAAAATATATTATAACATTAAACTATACATAATCTTAACAGTTAATAAACATTTAACAACATTTATATTTAATTTCTCAAGGAATATATTAAATGACTTAAATCTCAATTCACCAAAATTATAAATGTATATAAATATAGATATAGATATAATATATTATTATAACTTGCCAATAGAAAAGAACAAGTTATTTACATCAATAAATACTTATACATAAGTGGCTGAGGAACACATTTATGGTTTGACTTCTTTTATTTAATTTAGCAATTTTTACTTGAGATGATGTTGCTGTGAGGCACACACATTCCGACATAAATGAGCAACCACAATTGACCGAGAACAAAATCCACACAACGGGATTATTCAGAAGAACATATTTCTTCTAGACACATGTATCTGAGTAGCCCACAATTGGCTTAGAACAACAAATCCACATAAAAGGATTTATTCAAAAGAACCTATTTCTTCTAGACACATGTAGATTCATAACCATAAAAAAAAGGTATCAGTCTTTTATCACAAAAGGACAACATGAAAAATGTGATAGCCTTCCACAGTGTCGCCCTATTCTGCGGCGCGAACATCATCCCCCCGTCTAAAATAGTTTAGACGATCATTGGCGCCGTTGAATTGAGGTCTGAAACAATAGTGCCAGACGGAGTGGAAGCAGGCTTAAAATTGCAATAAAATTTAACAGAATTTCAACAAGGTAAAAGTTGCAATAAAAAAAGTAACATAATTCATTTTAAACATTAAAAAATATAAAAATATATAAAAATAAAAATCACAATGGATTGCCAATTATAGGAACATATACAACATACTTAAGTAAAATGTTTTACAAACAAAATTTTAATAAAAAACATAAAACATGAAAATTAATGAATTATTTATAATCAGTCTTAATAATACTCAACCTTAACATCAGGCAGCAATGGATGGCATGACGAGATGACATTAACATTAGTCGGCTGGCAGAGGAACAACCTTGACCACTGGTCGTGTAACTATTCCCACTTGAGTTCTAAGCTGAACTACCCTAACTACCCCATCTTGCCCAGGATGGGTACTAATTATGCGACCCAGTCGCCATTGTAAAGGAGGGGTATGATCCTCTTTAATGATAACCATATCATTCACCTTTAAATTAGGAGTATCCATCCCCCATTTACTTCTAAGCTGCAGAGTGTTGAGATATTCGTGAGACCACTGTCGCCAAAATGATTGATGGCACTGTCGAAGCAGTGTCCATCGTTTAATCAAACCAACAGAACTTTTACTAACATCAAGCTCAGGGACAGCTAATAAAGGTTCACCTATTAGAAAATGCCCAGGAGTGAGACACTGTAAATCATGGGGGTCACTAGACAGAGGTGATAGAGGCCTAGAATTTAATATTGACTCTATGCGTATAATGATGGTAGTAAACTCTTCATAAGAAAAAACATGATTACCCATACATTTAAACAATAAAGATTTTGCGGACTTCACTGCTGCTTCCCAGATACCACCAAAGTGCGGGGCATTTGGAGGATTAAAATGCCAAACACTAGGAACTGCCTTGGCCAATGCTGCACGATTCTTCTCAGAGCTAACTATCATCTTCAACTGACGTTCAGCACCAACAAAATTTGTTCCATTGTCTGAATAAATGTCTGATGGATAACCTCGACGTCCAACGAAGCGATCAAGTGCTGCAAGAAAAGCTTCAGTCGATAGTTCAGTAACCACTTCAATATGCACTGCTTTTACACTCATGCAAACAAATATAGCAATATAAATTTTGAACAAACGTGACTTACGAAGGCTGGTTTCTTTCATAGAAAATGGTCCAGCATAATCAATGCCGACATGACTAAAAGGTCTACTCTGTTGTACGCGGCATGCAGGGAGATCACCCATCTTAGGTTGAACGTTAGTAGCTGACATTCTAATACACACTACACATTTTGATATAAGTCTACGAATGACCTGTTTAATTGAAATAATCCAAAATCGGCGGGAAATCATAGATATCAATAGTTTACCTCCAGAATGACAAGTAATTTCATGCCAATAACGACACAATAAGAACGCCAAGTGCGATTCTTTTGCCAACAAAATAGGGTGTTTTCTAGAATGACTAATATTAGCATGTCTTATACGACCTCCAACTCGTATAACTCCAGAGTCGTCTAAAAAAGGTGCTAATTTAGATAAATAACGGTTTTTGATTGACAATTGATTGTGCAATTCTTGGATTAACTGAGCAAAATAGTATCTTTGAGAAACCTTAACCAATGCCATGAGTGCCTCTTCTAATTCCTTTTGACTCAAGATCGCCGATGAATAATGATGACAATTGCAACGTTTGTAAAATCGCAAAATCCAAGCCATCCTACGAATAGATTGAGTATAAGATGACCACTGAACTAACCACTCCTCTTCTGATTGTGCAACTAACACCACAGTGGTACTCTGAACTACTTCTGGTAATTCTGCAACATTAATACAAGGAAAAGTACATTCCCATTGAGCTGACGGACATCTTAAAAACTCGGGACCCTGCCAATACAAAGAACAAAATACTAACTCAGAGGGCAACATTCCACGGGATGCACAATCTGCTGGGTTCATCTGAGTCGGCACATATAACCAAATACATTCAGGTACTAAGGACCGGACTTGTCCAATTCGGTTTGTGACAAAAATTTTAAATTTAACTTGAGGCGTTGTTAACCAAGAGAGAACTATAGTAGAATCAGTCCAAGCAAATATCTCCTTGATTACAAACCGATCACTCAAAATTGTCTTACATCTAGCCAGCCAACGAGCCAATAATGCAGCTGCACATAACTCAAGCCGTGGGACTGACATAGACTTTATAGGAGCTAATTTCGTCTTACCTCCAAGAAAATATACATGCACAATACTATCATCGTCCACCACACGTAGGTAGGCAAGAGCCGCATAACCTTTCAATGACGCATCACTAAAACCAAGTAGTTGGACACGGGCATTAGGTGGTGCAATAATTGAACGAGGAATTTTGACATCTGAAAAAGACGGTAATTGACTGACAAAGGATAACCATTGACGTTGAATCTCCGCTGGTAAAGCATCGTCCCAGCCACATTTCTCCTTCCACAACAGCTGCATAATTGATTTCGCCAACAAAATACTGGGGGCGAGAAAACCCAACGGGTCAAATAGTCGAGCGACTGACGAAAGCACTCCACGTTTTGTCATGATATTTTCAGACAGTTTGGTAATATAAGAAAATTCATCTTTTACCGGATTCCATACCATTCCAAGGATATTCAACAGTCCAGGAACCTCTTCTGCAAACTCGGTGGCTCCGAGAGTTCTATCTTCTTTAGGAATCTGGTTACTTAAAACTGAACAATTAGTCGCCCATTTCTTCAACTCAAACCCAACTTGACCCAAAACCGCGGTGAGATCTCGCTGCAGGTTGAGTACCTCTTCTAAACTATCCGCTCCAGAGCATATGTCATCAACATATGTATGAGCACGGAGAGCAAGCTGAACAGCAGGAAATTCAATAGCCTTATTGGCAACTTCGTGGAGCACACGAATGGCCAAATAAGGGGCACTTGTCACACCATAAGTTACTGTTGATAATTCAAATTCTTTAAGATCACATTCTGGTGAATCACGCCACAGGATATGTTGGAAACTTTGATGCTCAGGCAACACATTAATCTGACGATACATTTTACAGATATCGGATGAAAACACATACTTATAGGTTCGGAATAGAGCCAACACATTGACAATATCAGATTGTAACTTAGGACCTGGAAATAAGCAATCATTAAGTGAATATCCACTTGGTGCACGTGCTGACGCATCAAAAACAACTCTTAGCCTTATATCCTGACCGTCCAGTCCGGGTTTGACAACCGCGTGATGTGGTATATAGTAGTCACCAACTTTAGAAGTCTCATGCATGTGACCAAGCGATTCATACTCACGCATAAAGGACCGATAAGCTTCAGCTAACGTTTCATTTGAACACAAACGTTTCTCTAAATTTTCAAAACGTTTCAATGCCATCTTGCGAGAACCTTTCAACAGAGACTTGGAATTAGAATGACGAAAAGGCAAAGGAACACAATAACGCCCACAATCGTCAATGTTCATATTTTTCTGAATAATGGCCTCACAGTTATCGTCTTCAGTCACAGGAGGACCACAGGTTTCAGGTTCTTCAACCTCCCAAAATCGAGAGACCAATTCTTCCAATGACACTGACAAAGAAGCCACACAAACTTGCGGTGCATTCAAATTACTTGCTACACCAACAGAGCCAATTATCACCCATCCAAAAATGGAACTAAAAGCTGCAGGTAAAGAAATGCCCAAAGATACTTGCTTACCATCCATGACAAGCGGATACACATCAGCACCTAATAAAACATCTATACTGGAACTAACATCAAAAGTTGGATCAGCTAAGACAAGATGTTCAACACGTTTCTTCATATCAACAGGTATGGGACGTCTAGGAATATCACAGGTAATAGATGGTAAAATCCAGGCTTGCACTGAAATAGATGGATCATCTGAGTGCCTAGGAGTGACATCACACTTCAAAATACCTTGTACTTGTGGAACCGATACTCCAGCCAATCCATTAACAGGAGCTGTCCACTTAGCCACATGCAGACCTAACCGCTTGGCACATNCCGTCCAGTCCGGGTTTGACAACCGCGTGATGTGGTATATAGTAGTCACCAACTTTAGAAGTCTCATGCATGTGACCAAGCGATTCATACTCACGCATAAAGGACCGATAAGCTTCAGCTAACGTTTCATTTGAACACAAACGTTTCTCTAAATTTTCAAAACGTTTCAATGCCATCTTGCGAGAACCTTTCAACAGAGACTTGGAATTAGAATGACGAAAAGGCAAAGGAACACAATAACGCCCACAATCGTCAATGTTCATATTTTTCTGAATAATGGCCTCACAGTTATCGTCTTCAGTCACAGGAGGACCACAGGTTTCAGGTTCTTCAACCTCCCAAAATCGAGAGACCAATTCTTCCAATGACACTGACAAAGAAGCCACACAAACTTGCGGTGCATTCAAATTACTTGCTACACCAACAGAGCCAATTATCACCCATCCAAAAATGGAACTAAAAGCTGCAGGTAAAGAAATGCCCAAAGATACTTGCTTACCATCCATGACAAGCGGATACACATCAGCACCTAATAAAACATCTATACTGGAACTAACATCAAAAGTTGGATCAGCTAAGACAAGATGTTCAACACGTTTCTTCATATCAACAGGTATGGGACGTCTAGGAATATCACAGGTAATAGATGGTAAAATCCAGGCTTGCACTGAAATAGATGGATCATCTGAGTGCCTAGGAGTGACATCACACTTCAAAATACCTTGTACTTGTGGAACCGATACTCCAGCCAATCCATTAACAGGAGCTGTCCACTTAGCCACATGCAGACCTAACCGCTTGGCACATGCTGCTGTCATAGCGCTTATTTGTGACGCTGAATCAATAAGGATGCGAACTTGATGTGCTATACCATACTGATCACGTATGTGACCTAAAGCCGTTCCTAATAATACTTCATGTGTGTTAATTATTGATGACACTGTAGATAAAGCTACAGGCATGTCTTCCCTTTCAGTCTCTTTACTGAAATGCAATAAAGTGTGATGTTTCTGACCACATTGAGCACACCGGTCAGTACTTAGACAACGATCAGTCCAATGATTAATGCCCAGACAATTAAAACACAATTTCTTTTTCCGAACAATAGTCTGACGGTCCTTTAAAGACGTGGATGGAAGCCGAGAACAAGAAGAACTAATATGCGATCCAGAGCAGACAGAACATACTGATTTATGCACTGCGTTGGATTTAGCAGCTACAAACGACACACGCCCAACATATTCTTTCTTTGGCTTAGAAAATTGTTTACGCTGGTCAACTTTAGCTCCTACGATATCGTATCGCCCACCTGCATTTTCTAGTACACGTATTCTTTCTCGTATGAACATAAACAGACTCTCTACATCAGGGAAGTTTTCAATATTGGTTGCCTCAAAAAGTTTTCTACTACTAAGAGGTAGACACCTCACAGCTAATGTGAATAAAATAAATTCACCAACATCAGGAATAGACAATGATCTTAATAAAGAAATATTGTCTTCAAACAATTCAACATAATCATTCAACGATGAAACATTCTCTTGAGCCAACGGAGATGCACTTATTAATTTCTCCACCAATAAATTAGCTAATTGACGTGGCTTATTATATTTTGCCTCAAGTGCATTCCAAGCTAGTTTGTAGCAGTCCGGTGACATGTGAAAGCCCTTAATAACATTTAACGCTTCACCACTAACACAACCACATAAATAATAATATTTTTCATCATTGGACAAACTAGTATTGTTGTATATTTGGGTAAGAAATCGGCCACTAAAGGAAGGCCAATCGATGAACTTACCCGAAAACATGGGAAGTGGAATTTTTGGAAGTTTGTTATTCTTGAAAGATTGGCCAGGGAATAAAGTCACCATTAAATCACCATCATCAATGTTTCCATTAATAGCATTACCATTACTCTCATTAAACTTCGCCATTAAAGCAGATATCTCACTCACCATATCAAATACTTCACTTTCCAATTCAGTTGGAAAATTACTACTCTCATTTAAAATAACTAGAGCATCTAATACTAAATCATTTTGTGCTTGAAAGGCCTTCCACAAATCATCAACACCATGAGTCATAGCCACAAATTTGGTCACCAAGTTAGGCTGTGATACCGCACTAACTCCTACCTCCAAGATTGACCTTATGCCTTTAATAGCCACAGTTCGCTTTAGGGTAGCTCTATCCCTAGCTTGCAAATTAGGGTCAACCATAATAATAAATTTAATTTAATAATGCCCAAATTAAAACAGACTAAAATATTTATAATTAAAAAAATTTTAAATTGCTCAAAAGAATGAGAGAAAAATCAAATCCAGGAGACCATAAATAATTACAAAAAAACAATTTATTGTATCATAGTTTTCAAACCCAGAATAAATAAAATAAAAATACCTTATATTAATAATCAATATTGTTCCTCGGTCCACTCGACCAGTAACGCCGCCCGCAGTCAACCACACGCTCTGCTACCAAAATGAAAGGGCTACTGGGCTCACAAGGCCTTAACTGGTAAAAGAACAGAAACAATTTTTCCTATAATGACAGATGAATATTAATAAAAAAATATATTATAACATTAAACTATACATAATCTTAACAGTTAATAAACATTTAACAACATTTATATTTAATTTCTCAAGGAATATATTAAATGACTTAAATCTCAATTCACCAAAATTATAAATGTATATAAATATAGATATAGATATAATATATTATTATAACTTGCCAATAGAAAAGAACAAGTTATTTACATCAATAAGTGGCTGAGGAACACATTTATGGTTTGACTTCTTTTATTTAATTTAGCAATTTTTACTTGAGATGATGTTGCTGTGAGGCACACGCATTCCGACATAAATGAGCAACCACAATTGACCGAGAACAAAATCCACACAACGGGATTATTCAGAAGAACATATTTCTTCTAGACACATGTATCTGAGTAGCCCACAATTGGCTTAGACCAAAAAAAAATCCACATAAAAGGATTATTCAGAAGAACATATTTCTTCTAGACACATGTAGATTCATAACCATAAAAAAAAAAAAAAAGGTATCAGTCTTTTTATCACAAAAGGACAACATGAAAAATGTGATAGCCTTCCACAGTGTCGCCCTATTCTGCGGCGCGAACACATATTGACCATGTACTGATCAACAACAGGTTGAAAAATGGTATAACTAATGTAAGAACAATACGAGGAGTCGACGCAGACTCTGATTATCTTCTGTGAGGTATTAGGATAAGAGTTAAATTCAAGGAGCAATGAAGGCGCAAGTTAAATGGTATAGATAGATACAATACTGAGATATCAGAAGACATAAATATACATAAGAATTACATCAGCAAAATCAGCGAAAATCTTAAAGAACAACAAATAATTAACACGATGTGAATAATGTATGGAGATGCTGTACAACAAACTGCATAAATAACTATAGGATAAAGAAAAAAAGAAAGAAACCCTTGTTTAACAAAATTTGTGAAGACCCAATACAGAGGAGGATTTCCCGGGAAGAATGGCAAGAATACAGGTACTAATAATGATGAGAGTGCTACAGAATTTAGTAGGCGGAGGAAAGAAGTTCACAATATAATTAGGTGTGAAAAAAAAAAGTATATCCAAAATATTATGAAGGACGTAGAACAGGACTAAAGGTTAAACAGGGCACGAGATATATATAAGAGATTAAATGTTTTAAAAGGAGATATTAGAAAAAAAAACAGTTTCTTAAGGATGATGATGGAATATTAATAACTTCAAAGAAGGAAATAACTGAAAAATGGACAAATTATTTTAACAAACTGTTAAACTGTGAGGAACCAACCGAGAAATTTCCTTTTAATATCTATAACATAGATACACAAGAATGCCCACGCCCTTCATCGGAGGAAATAAAAGTACAAGTACAAAGACTAAAAATTTATAAATCCCGGGAGAGGATTGTGTGCAAGCGGAACTTTTAAAAAAGGGAGGAGAAGAGGCTATACGATGGATCTGGCAAGTGATTAACAGAATTTGGACAATAGAGAAACTTCCAAATGATTGGAAAGTGGCGGTGGTATGGCCAACCCACATAAAAGGTGATAAGCAAGATTACTCAACTTACGTGGAATATCCTTGTTAAATGTGGCGTATAACATATTATCGAATTGTGTTTTAGACAGAATTAAAGAAAAAGCAAATCAAATAATAGGCTACTACCAAGGAGCTGGTAAATCTACGACAGACCAGATGTTCATAATTAGACAATTATATCAAAAAACATGGGAGTTTGATAATGAAATGCATACACTTTTCGTAAAATTTAAAAAAGCGTATGACAGTATTCACAGAGAAAGTCCACTGAATATTATGAAAGAATTTCATTTTCCAAAAAAAAATGAGTATAAGATTTTGAGTAGACGAGGACTACCGTTCTGTCAGTCCATAAAAATAGATCACTATGAATTTAAAAGGATAGAACAGTTCAAATATCTCGGTACTATCTTAACTGAAAAAAATAATGTAGCAAACGAGGTAGCAGCAAGAATTCATTCTGAGAATTACTATGGACTTTCTAAAATACTAATTTCACGAACAATATCGCGAAGAATGAAAGAACAATTATATATGTCCCTGATACGACCAGTTAAACTGTATGGATCAGAAACATGGCCACTTAGGAAATTGAACGAAAACAGATTCATTGACTTTGAAAAAAAATTGTGTTGCGAATAATTTATGGCCCAGTCAAGGACGAAATAACCGGGGAGTGGAAACGAAGAAAGAATATAGAGCTGTAAACATTATATAGTGGTTCGGATATATTAAAGGTTATCAGAAGAAGACTACGGTGGGCTTGCCATGCTTAGAGTAACGAAAATTCGCTACTACGTGCAGTAATTGAACGTAATCACTGCAGGTAAAAGACCTTTGGGAAGACCAAGGATACGCTGGGAAGATGCTTTAAAAAAAATGTTGAAGAGATGGGAGGTGGTTCCAATTGGAGAAATCTAGCATTTGACAGAGTAGGATTGAAGTTTGGTTGGGAGACGGGATAGTCTTTGGGAAAACCCAAAAAAGAAGAAGAAAGAATAAAAAGTTGTACTACCTAGTTTAAAGACAATTAACCATATTGCACTGTTAAAAATCTCAAAATTAAAATTTTTTTTGGTGATTAAAAAGATTAAAATACCACTTTTAATAATATAATTCAAGCTTACAGATTTATTGAGGAAGCTAAATAAATAAAAAATCACAATTTACACGTTATAATAAATATTTTTCATGATTTATCTCATTATACACTATGTAATTTTAAGCTATATGATCATGATACACATACCTTCTTTGAACAGTAGATAATTGAAATATTTTTTATAAAAATTTGACTAATCTCCATTTTCACGTAAAACCGTGGAATATAAAGACTACAGGAAACTATTCATAAGTATATAAAAATAAAAAGAATGACAAATTAAATACTAAATGGTCAATGGTTACACAATACTTGAAATCCGCGGGTACCATTTTGTTGATCTCACGATAAAAATAAAATTCGATGGCATAAAGAATAACATAAAGGGGAAATTTATCAAAATTCATCAAATATATATAATTTAGATTCTTTTAACAAATTGCTCGATGTTGGTCTATAAAAATCTATGTAAGAGAGTAGAAAAAAAGAAATAAATAAACAAAAAATTATCCAGCACAGTGGGGTCGTGGCATAGTTGGGTCCAGTATAGATGATATCTGACAGTGATTAAAATCACTATCATAAAAAACGCTTCGATGCAAATCTATAGATAGTGTTTAATTTAAAAAAAAAAAAATTGTTAAAATAGCATATTTTTGAATACAGTAGCCATTTGCGCATAGAAGATAGGTCGTTGGGACAAATTTTTTTTTTATTTTATAGTACATAAAATAAGCTTTAATTTGATATATGTTTAAAGGACGCAGTATTTCTGGAACATTTTCAAAAATTAAGTTGAAAAAGTTATTTTTTGTAAAAAAGTTACTATTTTAAATCCCCTCAGTGAGCAGAATAAGTGTTAGATTTTCAAAAAAAATTATATCAAATGAAAGGGAAATATCTAAGGTTTCAACACAAAAAAATATTATTTTTATTTGTTCATTTTTGAAAAAGTTATGGCAGTTTTAAGTACAAAAAATATCCCGATAAAAGGTGATTTTTATCGCACACATTACATTTTTTTTTAATTTTCGACAGCCATTTGCACATAGAATATAAGGAGTCGAGACAAATTTTTTTTTTTCATTTGATAGTATATAACATAACCTTTGATTTGATATATGTTTAAAGGACGCAGTATTCCCAGAACATTCTCAAAAGTTCAGTTAAAAAAGATCTATGTTTTTTACAATATTTAAAGTTTTGAACGCCCCCTATATAAGGGGAATTTGTCCAATTTTAATAGAAAGTATATCAAACGAAAGATGTACTTATAATGTATTTAGAAAATAAAAATGTGTGCTGATATACACATTTTTCAAAAAGTTATAGCATTTTTAAGTTGAAAATTTAAAATCCAAAATCGAAAATTTTAACAAAAAATAGTGTTTTTTTAACTACGGCAGCCATTTAAATGTAGAAGATAAAGTGTCGGTACAAATTTTTTTTTTTCATTTTATAGCACATAAAATAAGCTTTAATTTGATATATGTTTGAAGGACGCAGTATTTCCGGAACATTTTCAAAAATTAAGTTGAGAAAGTTAATTTTTGTAAAAAGTTGCTATTTTAAATTCCCCCCAATGAGCAGGTTAAGTGATAGATTTTCAAAAAAATAATATCAAATGAAAGGTAAATATCTAAGGTTTTAGTATAAAAAAAAATTATGTTGATTTGTTGATTTTTTAAAAAGTTATGGCACTTTTAAGTACAAAAAATATCCCGATAAAAGGTGATTTTTATCGCACACATTACATTTTTTTTTTAATTTTCGACAGCCATTTGGAAGTTTTAAGAAAAAAAAGTGAAAAAAATGACAAAATTTACCGATTTTTAAAATTGTAATTTTATTGGATATTTCCCCCATTTTCGGGGAACGAGGGAATTTTTTTCAATTTTTAAGGGTAATGTCTCCAACTAGATACGATTTGTGATCTTTTGACGTAATTTTGAAAGAAATCGGTCCAGTGAGAGCTGAGAAAAAGTGGCAACAGACATAAAAAAAAACGCATCATAGTAAAATTAATACCTTCTCAGCTTCGCATCGAAGCTAAAATACACTATAAAATATCTTATCAGTTACACATCAATTAAAGTTCTTCTTCATAAATGCATAATTTTAATCATTTCTTAGTCTCTATCCTAGGTGTTAAGGGTCGGTTCTATATTACAATCAATATTTATACGAATAAAAATTGACAAAATTTTTACACTGACTGACGTACCTCATTATGGCTGAGGTAGCCAGTAAGGGACAAGATGTGTCACTGTTAAAGCTTCCATAAGGTCACCAACCTTATAGAAGGGTCACCTATCCAGAAACTAACAGTAAATAGCACATCTGAACATCGGCGCTAACACGATGACTGAATTTACCACTGAGTCACATTGTGTTCCAAATGTATTATATTAATAATCAATAATTAATTACTAAAAAAGATTGGTTTCAGGTAAGATGTCATATTGTTTTATAGTATAACCCATCATATAGAAACCACATAAGTCACTACTTTTTTTTTTATAATTTATTGATAATATATATTAGATGAATTTAATTATAATGTCATATTGGTTAAATTTACCAGTATATTTAATTAATGATTGATGTAATTACATCTACAGTGTAACAATTAAATTGTATAGACATATTTTAAAATGTTGGTTACAATAGTTTAGAATAATTCTAAAAACTACATAAGTCACTTATTAATTTTAATTTTATGATTTGTATTATTTCTGAAAGTTAAAATTAAAATAGATAGAACATGAAAAAATATATAGAATAGTAATTATTATTTTATTTTAAAATTATTTATACAATATAATGGTGCAAGTGATAACAATTATTTATCATATTTAATATTTTTTATTTAAATATCATAATACACTTTTAAACAAAATTTTCTTTTAAATATTACATATATGATTAAGTACATTAAAATTTAATTAAGTCAGTCTTAAATAATTTTAGAAATTAACTTACTATAGTACTTACAATACTATAACTTTATTAAACCAAAATAAAATATTTTCTTTTAAATAATTATCTCAATTAATTCTTATATCAGATAACACATTAAAACTGAATAACACATTTATATTTTAGTTAAAATCAAATGTCTAAATAACTATCATCTATCGTTAATAAATACATATGATCATAGTAGATACTACATATTGTTTTCTCTAGTTTCTTTAAAAATACAATAGAATCAGGAGCATTAACACGTTTAGCAACAAATTCAGATACTACATTTTCAAGTTTTTTTTTCTTAGATGCCTGTATTTCTAAATGAGCCACATGTTGAATAGAAGGTTTATTAAGCAAACCATTGAATTTATGAATAATTAAAACAATATTTTGGAAAAATTTAATTAAATTCACAGAATTTAAATTATTCTCTTTTGTCAATAAATTGAATAAGTCATTGAAACTATGACTAGATATTTGTTCCAAATACAATTGTTCAGATAAAGAACTGTAATTGTTTATGGATTTTTTATTATTACTTAAATTACAACTATCTTCAGTATTTATTAATTTTCCCGCGTCAAATTTATGTTCAACATGTTTCATTATTACACTTTTATTATTATTATTTTCTTTTGATACTAAATCATTATTAACATCAGTAATATTATTTTCATGACTGTTAACATCATTATTAAATTTTAAATAGGTATTTCCTGATTTTTTATCTTTTTCTTCAGTTGGTAATAATTTTTTAGAATCCAATAAATCGTTTACTATATTACCTAGAAAGTATTCAAAAAAATATTAACACAATTATTTTTCATAAAATTGTTCAATAATATAATCAAAATTTTTTAGTAAAATGTAATTTACATAGTTTCCAATTCATAAGTACATAAAACTTTCAAAATTTTAATTATGAATGAAACTGCTTTTATTTTACAAAACAATGTGAATTTATATTATTTATCTTTCAAAAAAAATGGAAATCCTGTGATCTTAGTAAATAAAATACTTGTTATAATTCTAAAAAATCTAAATTTAAAGGCTCCCTAGTATTAAAAAAGCAATGTATCACGAGATGAAACCTTTTTTCATTTTTATTATTACAGTGCTGATGGACATAAAACCACTAATGTGTTATTTAATACTATATTAAAATTTTCCTTAACAAATGTTTTCATAGATGTATACTTTTTTTTATGATTTTTTAAATTAAATGTTTCATTAAAAATTTCAATCCTAGATAATTTGATTAAAATAAAAATATTTTTAATTAAATGTATTAATATAACTATTTTTGTACAATGAACAATTTATAGTAAGATATAGTATAAGTATATACTATAGATAAGATATAGTTTTTATTAGATTAATCGATTAATATAACTTAGTTTTAGAATAAATATCTAATTAGTAAGATAGATTTTTAATTTTTTATAAAATAAATAAATACAATGAAAACATTCAAATTAATTTCCTTACGAATATCTACTAAAGCTGAACTTCCAGACAATAAACAATCAATACGTTCAATTTCATATTTGGCTTCAAAAAAAGCTATTGTTTCATGATCCAAAACATCATAAAAATATTTGTCTGAAAGATTCTGAAATAGCCTTATTAACTTAAACATTTCATTTAAATGTTTTAATTGGTTTATTCTTGACTCTTCATCATTATTACTCATTGTTAGGTGAATTTTTTTAGCTAAACTCGTGTACAATGGATTCAACCAAGAAAAACATGCAAAACACAAGTATGATCTTATAGTTTTTAGAAGATTATCATCTTTTACAAATATTTCAAAATTTTCTTCAGATAATGGACCTTTAGATGAAAATAAAATAAATTAGGAAAATATACTATAACAATTTTATATGAATTGTATTACCTTTTGGGAAAAACCATATTATTAATTTGGTAAGTGGCTTATTGAATTTTGAAACTGAATCTGGGCACATTAACTCATAATCATAAGCAGCTGCTAGACATTTAATTAAACGTTGTTGACAATCAATGGTAAGCTTACCAGTGTTTTTATATTGCAATGCTATTAAACAAAATTGGCTTGCTATAAATACAGTCATCTAAAAAAACTTAATTATTAGTATATAATTAAGTATTGGTTTTTGTATACTTAATAAATGTCAAATGTGATTAAAGATCACACTTGACTAATTTTGAATTTTCACATTTATAAAATGTTTAGAAAATACACAAAGGAAATAAATAAAAAAATAGGAAAAATTGTTTTAAAAATTTTACAGTTATGTGAAGTGTAAAATACTTTACTTAACAGTTATAAAATACATTATTATTATTGGCAGTTATAGAATTATTTTGAAAAAAATGTTTTATTGAAACTTTTTTTACATAGTTAAAAATCTTATAAGAGTTTATTATGTTGTGAATTAGATTATTATTTTTTTGTTTCTATATTTCAAATTATAATAAAAAATAAAAAATTATGAATTTTTGTTAATTAACTAACAGTTTTATAACTTATTTGAAAGCAACAAATAGGTCAAAAAAAAGATTAATGACTGTTTAAGTCTTTCAAACATTGAGGAAAATACATTGTTCTAATTAAAATTATTTTAAGTAATATTTTTACACACTTTCCATTTGTTTTACAAATTTATAGCAATGAGTTGCTCTATATCAAATTTCCCATGATTTAATAATTGGATATTAAAAATTATTAATTTACTTTGGGCATAATGAGGTTAGTGTCTGATATAAATTCTGGCTCAATAATTTTAACTAAGTTATCATAATATTCTGGTTTCCAAGTCACTTTTGTTATTATGTGATCCAATATAGTCACATTATTTTTATTATTAACATCAAAGAGCCAATCTTTAAAGATATCTAAGGTTACTTTTTCATCAAATTCAAACATTGATTCATGAACTCCAATCCACATTTCCAGGTACTGAAATAATTAATATTTATTAAATAAAATTTAATAAATGTTAATTTTTATAATTCAAAATTAGTGAAAATATATTGGCATAGATAAAACTATACAACATTAGTCATACTATATTTTAAAAATAATATTTCTTTTCAAATTATTATTTAATTGAAATTGTTTTTAGTTCTAAAAAAAATAACCCAGCATAGTGGTGTCGCGCCACAGTGGGGGCGTGGCATAGTTACGTCCAGTATAGATGATATCTGACAGTAATTAAAATAACTATAGCATTGATAATAGAATATTTTTTTAAAAAAAATTCCTCGGTCTCATCCTTCAAATTTACACCAATCATACAAGTTTAACCCTTGTAAATTTAATGGGATACTATTTTAAAATAAATTTAATTTTTGAAATAGGCTTATTAAAAAGAAAGTAAATTTTTACATATTTAGTAGTTCATAATAACTTTTAATATAGTAATATAAACAAAAAAGTTGTGGAGTATAAGGGCATTAAGATAATCCTTATTTTTTGGCTTTGGAAATTCTTTGGTCTCACCCTCCAAATTTGTGTAAATACATGTAAAAATGAAACAAAAAATGTTCACACCAATTTACTTTTTTTACTCAATATTTTGAGTAATTGTTTACTCAAGGTTGAAAATTGTCAATAAGGGTAGTTTTTTAGTTTAATATAAATTAATAATAATTATTAATATAAATTATAGATAATGATGTTTTCCATACATTTGGGCTTACACATTTTTTTAAGCCCATTATTTTTGCAGCAAAACTTCAAAATACATATAGATATAATTTCATTATATCCAACGAACACTAGAGATACAAATATATATTTTATACAAAAATTGTTTATTATTTAATTTTGTAAAAAAGTTGATATTGTAAATATTGTGAAGAACTTAGTACCCCCACCAAAAATAGATAAAAATACAGTTCAATTTTTTTTAATTTCCCTAGTTCCCTGTAAATGGAGGAAATGCTCAAAAAATTATAATTTTTAATATTAATAAATTTTGAAAATATTTTTCTTAAAACTGCCATATCTTGTTCAAAAATAAAAATAAATTTTTTCAAAACCTATCCCCTTACAAGCTCACAAAGGGGGATTCAAATATCAAAATTTTAAAAAATTCAATTTTTTCAACTTAACTTTTGAAAATGTTTTGGAAATACTACGTCTTTTAAACATATTTTAAATCAAAACTTATGTTAAATACTATAAATTCAAAAAAAAAAAATTTGTTCCCACGAATTATCTTCTATGTGCAATTGACTGCAAAATTTAAAAATACGATTTTTTTGTGTTAAAATTATCAATTTCATATTTTCAACTTTAAATTGCTATAACTTTTAGAAAAATGTATGGATTTGCATCGAATTGTCCCAACTATGCCACATCTACACTGTGCTAGTTTTTATTGATTAAATTGAGATTATAGTTATACATTGCCCAATTTTTTTATTATTTAGTAATAAGGATTTATTTAAGTACAGGAAAAATTGGAAATTAAAGGCTATATTAAGACTAATTAAAAATAAATTGATAGTAAGTGGAAATTATCATTTTTTTTATTATTTAATTAAAAAAATATCCTTTATTCTCATTTTTATTTAAATTTAATTTATCTCAAACTAAATAAATTTTTATTGAATACAACACTTTAGCCATCCAAATATAGATCAAATTTACTGTATTATACATAATTTTAAGACTAAAAAAAAATTTCATTGTAAGCATAATTTATTTTTTATATGACAGTAAAAATTTTGTAGTGGATACTAAGTTCCTCACAGTGTCTTCTGTGCTTATTTTTTTTATAAAATGAAATAATAAACAATTTTTGTATAAATATATATTTGTACCTGTTAGCTTTTGTTGGATATAATATTATACCCTTTTATTTGATTACCACTGATGAAAGCTTACAATAAAAGCATTCTCTTAACTTAGAAATAAAATAATAAGTAATAAATTGAAACCAACATTAAGTTTAGGATGTTCATTCAAGAAAGCTCTAGCTTCATTCCACTTATGATGTTTAAAGTATTCCATTTTTAATATATTTACAACCAAAGATAATTCTATTTCTTCATCAACACAACAAGCTAATTTTGCTGCCAATGATAATTCTTTAATTTGTTTTATTTTAGTTAAACATGAGATAGCATTGCGAGGATCACCTATACTTAAGTAACTAAAATAACATAAGTTAAAACCAAGATAATTGAATAATTTTAAACAAAATTATACAAACCAATGAGCTGCTTCTTTAGGATGTCCATGACAAACATTATATTCTGCCCATTTTTTAGTAATTTCTAAAATTAATTCATCATCTTGATTTTCTTGACACCGAGCCACTGATAATGCTTCTTTAAATAAATTATTTTTTAGCAACATTAAAGCAGCATCTTTGTATTTTTTTATGGAAACCAAAAAAGTTGAACTTTTAGAGACATCACCTTCATCTTCTAATTGTACTGCATATGCTTCACACATTTTAACCCATAATCTAAGTAATGTTTATTAATTAGGATTTTAGAGACATGGGGAAATTACTCGCTCTAGAACAAAAAAAGTTTCTGGCGTACTATGATAAATTTTCATGGAGTTTGGTATATTGGAACTGATCCAAACAAATTTTATAAATACATATAGTACCAAATTATTAAAAAATGTCGTGGTGCATGTTGTTTGCTAACGATATAGTGTTAATAAGAGAAAATAGGCAGGAAAATAATCGGTTTAAGAATAAGTAGAAGTAAGACAGAGTATATAGAGTACGAGTTTGACAAAGGAGAATACGGATTGTGAAATAAGGAGATCAGTGATAATAGGTGAGGCTTTGATTGGAGAGATGGAACTCTTGGGTATGAGTAGAAATGCACTAAGGTTCTGCTTTAAGCCCTTACTTATATTCTATAGTGATGGCTGAAATTACTAGAGAAATACAAGGAGAGGTGCCATGATGCATATTGTTTGCTGACGATATAGTTTTAATAAGAGAAAATAGGGAGGAAAATAATCGGTTTAAAAAACCGGTTTAAGAATAAGTAGAAGTAAGACAGAGTATATAGAGTACGAGTTTAACAAAGGAGAACACAAAGACAGTGACAATAGGCGAAGACGTGATTGGAGAGGTGGAGAGTTTTAAGTATTTAGGGTCAGTTGTACAAAAGAGTGGTGGTATTGACGAGGATGTAAGACACAGAATTAAGTGCGGGTGGTTGAAGTGGAGAGAAGCGTCTGGTGTCCTATGCGATAAAAGAATTCCAATGAGGCAGAAAGGTAAATTCTACAAGACTGTAGTGAGACCAGCTATGATCTATGGTTAGATTGTTGGGCAGTTGATAAGACAGTAGAGCAGAGAATGAATGTATACTGTCTATTATTTAAATATATTTAGTATAGCTTGCCTTTTTTTTGGGAGGGGGGAGGAATTTTAGTTATCCTAATTATAATTTTTTATAATATTTTTACTCACTCAAAACTAATACTCGGAGCAACAGATACCATCCAATCATTAACAGTCTTTGTCTCTATAGCTTCTTTAAAATAAGCTTCTAAGTTATTACCCCATATATTGATGTTATTTATATAAGGAATAATATTAGAAGAACTCTTTTTTTTTAATACTTTACCTATAAACAAAAAAATAAATAACTATAGCATATTATTATTAAATCCAAACATTAATCAAAGTATATTTATTTCCTATCAGTTATCATTAGTTAAAGTGAAAAATTGCAAAATTTTTATAAAATGTTTTGTTTTTGATTTTTAAAAATCAAGATATATTGGTAATTAAAATATCAAAGTCAAATTTTTGTCAATTACCACGAATCTAATATTTTTTTAATTTAGCTTATTGATTATACATGGATGAATAATTAGGTTAGCTTTAATATGAAAACCAGAAAGATCCAATATTATGACAGAGCATAATAACAATATGAGTATACAAACAATTGCTATGACGTCTCTACAAATATAACATTTTTGGTCTTCTCATTAAGTACAAATCCTAAGAAGTTGACCAATAGTTTAATAGAAATACTTTTTGAATAGATACTTAAAATAAATTTAAAAATTAAAAAAATCTATAAAATTTCTAATAGTAATAAAAATAACAATTTTTCTAAATTTTCTTTGCTAGTACAATCTCTAAAATTGGAGAACATATTTTGATATTTTAGAATTATATAAATTAGTAGGAATGCAGTGAAGACTTTTAAAACTTTACCTTTCATAGTTCATCCAAAACAGAGGTTCAAAGTTGGCACACATAATAAAAACTAAATTTTCACAATTGTCAAATAAATCTATTTTTTTTTTTAATTATTAAGTTACTTGTTTAAATTTTTAGCTCATCTATTATAAAAACATAAATTATTATTTTTCATTAGTAACTAGTTACTACAATAATAAAAAAATCTAGTTTTAATACTATAGTATCCAGAATGAATGAAATAGATTTATTTCATTTAAAATGTGACAGTATTAAAATCCGGTTTCTTTATTAGTCAAATTTTAAATAATATTTTTTTAAATTTTAGACTCAGTTTAAAGTTAAAAAATTAGGATAAATTTCTCATTGTGACAAACATTTCTTCTAAAAAATATTAAACTAAAAATAGATATTGTTTTATTACTTTGAATTATAAAACCTAAATTAGTAACTAAAACCTTAATAATAATTTCTAGCTAACTGTAATAATTACAATTCATACAAAAAATATTTTAAATTTACAGCATTTTGTTTTTTGTATTGATTTTTTTTTTTTATTACTAAAATTTTAATATATACAGGAGCTTTTAATCTTTTTTATATAAATTTAAAATGTAAAATACTTATGATTGAATACTTACTTTCCTCAACCATTAATTGTTTCATTTCTTCAGCTGAACCAAAAAATGATAAATAATTAATGTTTTCACAATTAATTTGATCATCAGGTTTCAGGTACATTTCAACAGCAGTTTCCAAGTATTTTCCAATAAAAAGATCATAACTGGAAAACGGAAATTGTTGTTTCTTATTTGTTGTATCTTTAGTAGATAAATCACTTGGCCCTATTTAAAATATTATTTATTTAGATTACATTTTCATATTGATGATTTAAGAATTAATATAGTTTTTTACATAGAAATTTTTAAATTTACAAATGATTGAAAAAAAAATTATTATTAGTATACACAGTACCACAGAAACATTTTTTTTCCTAGGAAATATCTCTAACATTGTCCATAACTAAAATCCTAATTAATATAAATTGGTTATGTTAGGAAAAACAAACTCAAATATCTATTTATCATTGATGTACTTTGAATGATTAAGCTTTATAAATATAAAGTTTTTAGCCCTAGTACGAGTTTATAGTTATCCTAGTCGGTAAAGATTATATATATATATATATATATAATCACACTATTCATGTCAAGATACAGAGTAAATAAACATTAATTGTTTAAATTGCTTTGTTGATGATATATCATATCATATCATGTTATTAAAACTAAAAAAAACTTACTTTTGAGATAATTAAGTTTAAAGATTCAATTTCCTTTTTATTTAAATTTTAAAATATTATATTTACACTAGTGCATCATGCACAATGTAATTTTTACTATAGGAAAATATCAACTACGAGTGCAAAAGATATATTTCAAAATTTGTGATATTTGACATTTTAGTTGTTTATAATGCAGTTAAATATATTTTATTATTCATTTTCTAATATGATAAAATTACGTAAAATTGTACTTTATCTTGATATAAATTCTAAAATCAAAGTAACACACAATATAACTACTTTCGAAAAATCAAAACTAAGAAGCTGTTCATTCCAAAACGGTTTTATTGAGATACAGCCTTCTTACACTAACAACACAATATGTTTAACTAACTGATATTTTTTGAGTTACTACACCAATATCTTGATAGTACAATATACACAGGTGTAGAGTGAACAATTTTTTTAGAAGGTTAAATTTCATTTTTCTTTGTCGATAGAAGAATTTCTACATAATAAAACATAATTTTGCTATATTTTTGGGGTCTAAATTGTAAACTGGAACCTAAGGCTTTCTAACCCCCCCCCACTCACTTATGACGATATATATAATTTATTAAATTTACCTTATGATAATTTACAAAGCCTTAGAAAATTACCTGTTGTATTTAATTTATCTACATCTTTTGTAACAATTTTTTCTTTTATTATGGTAGGAGTACTTTGATTTTCTGAAATAACAGTTAAATTTTTAGCACATAATAAACTACTTACAAAAAATAATAAAATTCAAAATTATACCAAAAAATTTGTATTAAAAATAATAAATTTCTTAAAATATATTTAAACTTAATGATAAAAGTTTATTTAATATGATTCATCATACATACTAGTTAATTCCACAGAGTCACTTTGTAAAGCTTTTGAAACACGCCAAGAATGTATTGAATGATCTGCAGATCCTGTGAAAACAATATCAGAATCTAATGGTGAAAACATACCACATAACACTGTACTTAAATGTCTAGAATAAACTCCTAATAATACACATTTTTGAACATCCCAAACCTAGAATTAATAATTTTAGTTATTAATTCGGAAATATATCTAAATTTACAATTATTTGTAAAACAAATAATAAATAATACAACTAAATAAGTTTTAAAAATATATGAATTCTTTAATATTGTATTTTTTACAAATTTTGTGGGGTGTATCTTTAACTAAATACAATTTCAGACTTTTGGAAATATATATTTACAAGATTGGTTCACTCACATGAAATTAAAAAATAACAATAATAAAATTATTACCTTCTCAGCTTCACATTGATGTTGAAGATTACAACAAATAATTTAATAATAAAATTATTTTTTCAGAATATTTTGATAACTACTAGGTGTAGTAATTAAGTAATGATTTAATTATATAACTGGTAAATAACATTGACCGATTACACTGCTAAGATTCAATTTTTTTATAGCCTATTCATACTACTAGAATCTTGTTAAATAAGAAAGAAAATATGATTTTAAAATATTGGAATTTTGACAGATGTAATATGACCTCTTGTAACTCACAGAAAAAATATTCTTATTTAATTACCAAACTTCATATAAAGAGGTATATAACACTTATCAATTAATTTAAGAACTTATTAATTGTAATATTAACATGATACAAAATACAACATTCAGATTTAGCTGTAAAAGGATATTCTATACATAACATATCAATTACATCATATCAATATTCATATTTAACATCCTCTCTTAAAGTTATTGTTTGTGTCAGACAGAATGGGAAACCTAAATAATTCAGTGTGATAGATTTAAACTCCGGTACATATACATTGAAGCACGATGCATCACTGAATGAGTTAGATAGTCCACCTTATTTATACATACTTTAGCTGTAAAATCATTAGAACAACTTAAGAGCATTAGATTACGATGAGGGCTCCAAGCAAGTTCATTGACCTTTTCTTTGTGACCATTAAATTCTGCAACTAATATTGGTGCATTATCTATAAATTAAAATTTTATATTTTATTACTAAAAAAAAATTAAAAGCTTAGTAATCAAAAATTAAAACAGAAAAATAACATATTTATACATATATTAAATTCTACCTTTATTTAATTTGTGCACTTTAATGCAATATGAGCTTGAAGCAAAGTAGTTTTTAAACTTTGATTCTTCACTGAAATCACAGGTTACATGAGTAGGGTGCCAAATAATACATTCAACTGATTGATCATGACTAAGTATCACATGTCTTAACTCTAAGGTATGACCATCTAATAAATAGATATTCCTAAAATGAAAATTAAATAAATAAATTTCATTTAATATACTTCGATACATTAGGTCAAGGTTCTATCTACAAGATGAAAAAAAAAAAATTCAAATAACTACTATAGAATTCTTAAGTATGTTAGAAACACAATTTAAGTTTCCTTTAGTACAATGAGTTCTTTTTTAAGACATAACTTAGATGATATTACCAATATACTTGGTTTTTCTACAATAGTTATTATATATGAATTTTATATGAAGCTGTACCATAAATATTTTAATTTAATTAAATTTATAAAACTTAAGTACCCATTAGAGTTTCCAATGGCAACTATATCATAATCTTGTTTCCAAGCCATTTCAATGCGCTTAACTGGTGTTATAAGTTCATCCTCAATGTTGTTAAATAATATGTATTCTTTGAGATTTCGTGGATCTAAATTGAAAATGTAATGTTATATATTCTAATTTATTAATAATGAGCGATTAAATATTGAACATCATTTAACATTTTTTAAAAATCAATTTGATTAAGTTCATGCAAAGAGGGCTGATAATGCTGTTTATGAATAAGTTTTATTGAAAAATTTTGAAACTTCTGAAATATGAAAATCTATTATTAACTTATTCAGATACTAAAAAACCTTTTTTACATACACTAATTCATTCATGTTTATAAATTATATCGGCTAAGACTAAAAAATCAATTTTAAAATTATCCTATGCCACAAAAAGATATCTACAATAAATCGCTTACACTATTCTAGACATTAATTGGTACACAATTATAAATGACAGAAACTTGGTCTACAGTAACAAATTATATTGTTATCAAATTTTTATTTACCTTTCCATAAACTCATCTCATTATAAATTAATATTTGACCATTACCAACAGCATATAATGAATATTTAGTCTCATTTGTAATTACATCAATAGGAGGTGGTGCCCAACATAAACGATAGATTGAATGAGCAAGAACAGTTTTTAATAAACTCATATTATTCCTTTTTTTAATAAGATTAAATATACCTATACGGCCATCACTAGTACCAAATGCTAACAAACCTTCATCTTGAGGATGAAATGCCAACTGAAAAAAATTATTGATGATAATTTTTTAATTTAGTTTAATATATAATTATAAATAAAAATAATAATTATAAAAATGCAATATTGATATCTACTTTGGTACTCATTTAATTTTATATGGATTAAATTAAATGGTAATATAACTAATGGTGCTTATATTAATTAGCTTACTAATTTATATTAAAATTTTTGAAAATGTTTATAAGGTTTTTTTTCTATGTTTAACATGATTTATAACATAATTTTTTATAAGTCTTAAGCTTAATGAAAAGTATAATATTAAAAAAATAAAAGTATATTTATAACACTAATATATATTAAAATATAAATTCTATTCAAATTCATTCATCTACTCCAAACATGTTTATAATATTTAAATTTTGTTCTTATATAATATATATTTTTATAGTAATTTTTCTACCATTAAAAAAACAATTCTTCAGAAATAAATAATAAAAATGAATTATTTATTTGGAGAAGTGTAATCTATATTATCAGAAAAAGTAATTTAATAATATGCATTTTATTATATCCTTAGATTAAGTTTTAATAAATTATTTAAAAGTTGAAGGATATAAATATTATGGAAGTCTGCATGTATCAACATAAATTTTATCCAAATAATTATCACATCATTTTTAAAATATTACTAACCGATAAGACTTTAGCATCAATAGAGTTACTCAATGTGATTAATTCTAATTGTCGCCTATTTGAAACATTCCAATAATAAATTCTTCCGTCACCAAGACCAAATGCAAAACTAAAAAATTATAGTTAGTTTCAGTATAGTTTAGGTTAATTAAAAACTTTATATTACTCAGCAGAGTTAACAGGTGATAAAGCAAAACAATATACAAAACCACCTAGTGTTGGAACTTCCAAAGGGAAGTCTTCATTATCAGAAGTGTCAAATAACGGAGTTCGAATTAGTTTTCTTCCCATACAAGATGACCATAAGAATGGTTTAGAAGCTTTACTAATAAAAAATATAACCATAAAGTTAATACATTTTATTTAAATTAATAAAAATTATGTAGTTAGTTTTATAGATACAAATATTAAAACAATTTTGGGGATGCTAAATATAATTTCTCCAAAATAAAAATTTATTTATATAAATATAATTTTTCAATATTTTTAGGATTGCTAAGCATCTTTAACACTCTTGGGTTTTTCGCCGATAGTTTTTTTTTTTAATTTAAATACTGTATTAAAAAACTAACTTAATATTTTTTAGTACTCACAGAGAACTGGCAATTGAAAAAATAACATCTTTATGAACATCACTAATTAATGATATATCCGGTGATGAAATTTTACTAAGCTGAAAATCAACTTTCAGAATTTCACCAAATGCAGATGTGACAATAATAGTGGTTGGCTTAATCCACTTAATGCAACTCCAAATTAAGTTTGTTTTATTCCTGTATGAAAAAAATCAGTGAAATATAAAAAAAAATTACATAGGATATTTGGAGAGTAAGATTATTAAGAGAGTATGATTCATTTTTGTCATTTCAGATATAATCATTTATGTAATGATATTTTCAATAAAAAATTAAATGGTCAGAATTCTGACCATGCTCTTAAAATTACTTAAAAATTGTTTTTCTTATAGGTCTCATTGGTAATGATATAGTAGCTTCACAAAACATATCAGTCCCTGCACGACAAATATATAACCCAGTTCTGTCACACGCAGTTGAAGCTAACAATAATGGTTGAGAAGACTGATCATTAGTAATAGTGTTGTATGGGACAGGACACCAAGTTAATGATACTACGTTTCTTTCATGATATCGTAATTTGTGTAGTACTCGACCATCACCTAATACATTATAGTATATAAGAACACTGTGCATATATTTAATAGTTTGTAGTAAATAAATTTTACATAAGTATTGTACTTGTATTATATTTGTAGCATACATAAATTTTCTTAAACTTAAAATAAATCTAAAACTAATTTTTTTTTCATTTTTGCATGTCAAACTTTTTGTTCAGAATAAAAAAACAAACACAAATTGAAAAAAAAAACTATTGTAGGAATAAATTTATACAAACCTGTGACATCATAAACAATGACACTACCATTCTTGCAACCAAGAGCTACTATATTTTTTTTGTGAGGACATGCAGCTAATGTTAAAGGAGATACTTTTAAATCCAATGTATAGTTCCTCATTATCATAGCTTGGATGTCCCATTTATGCAAAGTTCCTGCATCAGATATTGCTACAACAGTCAAACAATTGTACAGCCATGCCACATCCAATAATACTACATTCTTATTTTTTTTATTCTAAATAATATGAATGTTTTTGATTTATTTAATTTTTTTTTATTTATAAAATAATACTTAGATAATTTTAAGTAAATTATTATTAGTTTATAACAACATATAACAGTTTACTTACTCCAAAAGAATGAACATGCTCACAAATTTCATCTTTCACTTTCCAAATATATATATTTACTTCATCTATTGATGCTACATAATAAGCATCCGCATGAGTATCTGTTTCATGTGAAAAAGAAACTGCACCAATTCGACCACATGATACTTTGGCATTGAATCTAAGACGACTGTAGACTAAATCATAAATACTATTTCCATTTAATCCACTAACTAATACAACAATATTTCTTGATCCATAAGCCAGTAATGTACCGTATGTATTCAATGCCATAACATTTGACTTGTACCAGTTAGATGATTGAGTAATTTCAAAAGTATTCATGATTATCTAAAAGTAAAATGTTTATATGATTATTACAGAAAGATGTATTCAAAAATGAAATAAAAATTTCAAACTTATCAATCATATAATTTTAATAAATCACTAATACTTTTTTTCACTTACATGAAAATGAAGATAATTTAAGTAATTATAATACTTTTAGACAGTTCACCAGTTTTTGACAATAATTTTACTTGGTGCAACAACAACCAGTTAAGTCCAAATTTTTAATTTTTCAGGAACAGCAATTTTATCAAAATATTTTCATTAAAAACAATGGTAAAATTTTTTTCTAAATTAAATAACTCTACAAATAATAGGAATATAGAACTAATTTTTGTATTGAATAACATAAATAAATTTAGTTGTGTATTGAATACACAACTAAAAATCATATTTATTTAAAATTATTTTATAAAAAAAGTTGGACTTCACAAGTTGTTGCACCAAGCACTTAAAATTTTATGGATTATATATCACAGTGTCGTTTTTTAAACTATTAAATATTTAAGATTATCTATGATTAAACATGATTGCTATTGACTGGCACCATTATTTAATATTAAAATAAAACAAAATTTTATATTAATTTCAATAAAAATAGTAGTCTTTGCATTTTTTTAACAAAAAATATAAGACTACAATAATTTGTTAAATACTTCTAAAATATGTTTGTTAAATAATTAATATATTTTAATTAGAAGATACAATCATAATTATAAATTAAGAATTTAAATATTATGAAATTCACCCAAAAAATTAATTAAAATACTTAAGTTAAAATATTCACATAAGTAAAAAAACGTCTACAAAATTTTATGGAATTAAATATAAAAAGAAATACTTACTCCATATTAATATAATTTTTAAAAATAAAATAGTAATAGCATAAAGTATATTAAAATATAACATCAAAATTACAGACATTTATTATTAGGTTGGGTTTGTTTTACTTACAAAATACTTAATGTGTTATACTGTAAATAGTATTATTATATATAAATTTAAGAAAATAATTTAAATGTATAATTGATTAACTTGACACAATGTAAGAAATGAAACTAATGCAACATTTTTATTTCAAATTAATTCAATTATAAATAAAATTACCGTAATATTTTTTTAAAATATTGTTGTTTGAAAATAGTCACGTGTAGAACTACCTTATCAACGTATTTCACTATACAATATATTATGATATATAATGAAAATAAAGATAAGGCGGCATACTAGTTAACTTGTTTGATTTTATATCTTATGATATAAAAACAGCTGATATTCCAAAGATTCCATAAAATTATTCCAGGGTAATCAACTTTCTAGATATTTTCAGTTTGTAAATAGTAATTGAAATTTGTTAAGTATTCTTAAAGTGGTCACAATGTTTTAAATTACCTGTAAACGTTGTTGCGTTGTCATATCTGCTAGTTGCGCCTGGTTCATTTGTTTAGTGCGCCATCTTGTTCGCGTATGACGCCTGGGTTGACGACTGTAGACAGTTTAAGGGGCTGTACTATTAATATGTAGTCGTAAAAACAGGACTTCTAATCGCTACATTTCACGTTGTTTTACCGTCTACAGATTTGATATTAGATAACTTATTTCGAATATTATTTTCCGCATACGGAAATCATTTCAAAATTTTTAATAATTCAGTTACAAATTAAAAATTTGAACATTATTGTAAGTATTCAATTTTAAATATTTAAATTGAGGCCTGTCGTATAGGCAATGTATTTAATGACGTTGTTTACTTTTAATAACACCCGTGTTTGATATGTTGCATGCTAATAAACCCTAAAGTAAATTCTAGTTTTATTATTGAAGCGTCTTTTAAAATTTGTATAAATCGTCAATGTAAATTTTTTTAAATGACTGTATTTTTTAATTTTTTTTATAAAATTCTTAAAATATTTTTTTGTTAAAATAGTGAATTCACTAATGATAGTAATAAGTGATACGATTTGTATATTATAGTGGTTTTATGATAACTCATCAATCATTTATATGTTTTAAAAATAGTTATATACGAGTATTAAATTATCTTTTTTTTGTGATTTAGTTAAATTAAATTGTATATTAATGCATTGATAAATGCTTCATAAATAAAGGTTACTTGTAACTATTTGATAAATAGTTTTATAACTTACTAAAAAAAATTAGATGAACCTTCTATTGAAATTTATAAATACCAAAAAAGTATAAATTTATTCATAGTCTATCCCAAAAGTTCTGGAAATAAAGCAATAATGAAATGTGATGAAAAAGAAAACGATATAAAATATAAACTATTTTAAGTAGTCTTCTCCCACTTCAATGCAATGAAGAAATCATGTTTTGAAGTCTTACATGGCCTACTAAAGCATTTCTTCTGTTTTTAAATTGTTTATTAGAACATTCTAAATGTTTTAAATACTCTTGAATATATCTTCTTTCAACTTCAATATGAGCCTTGAAATCTCAAAACCATCTGGAATGTTTTAATTTGGCAAATATGGTGGGTGGTAAATAGTTAAAACGCTTTTATCTACCAGAAACTGTTGGTTGAAAATAGTCATTTATGCAGTTGCATTGTTGTACAAGATAAGAAAATTGTGATTTTAAAACTTTTCAGAACTCTGACAATATGTTTCAAAAGTCATTCTTAATTGCTTTTGTAAAATTTATTAGTCACTAAAGTACCCTGTGGCATGATTTCTTTATAAACGACTTCTTGAAGATCATTATAAAGAGTTAGTTTTTTCATGGTGTTTTAGAAAAGTGATCACTTATGTGATTATTAACCACACTCTTCTAAACGTCAATATATTGACGGAATTTCTCATAAACAGCTTTTTCTTCAAATACGGTTTATTTTATGGTTTCTTTAACATTTTTCATGGATAAACTAGATTAGAAATGAAAATTACATTGTTTAATTTAATTGCTCACCAAAAATTTTTAACCAATCAGCAATGAATATATCTTCTGAAATTACTGTTGACCTGTGAAAGATATATGTAAAAAGTTGGAACTTAGAATAGGCATTTACAAAGAATGCTTATGTTATTATTTAGAATTTCATTCAAATCATGCCATTCGTATTATTTCAATAGCTTCATTCAGAGAACTTTTAGGACATATTGTGTATATTAACTAAATTATAAATATATTAGCTTCGATGCGAAGCTGAGAAGGTATTAATTTTACTATGATGTGTTTTTTTTTTTTTTTTTATGTCTGTTGCCACTTTTTTGTTTGATGTATATTTACCTTAATATTTTTTGTTGGTTGAATTCTACAGTTATGGTGAAAAGTTTAATGCACTTAAACCCTTGCTTCTTGAAACAATTCTCCCATTATATTCGGTGTCTTCTTAAAGGTATTTTCCTGTTAGATACTCGTGTGAAACCACCTTTATCGATGTTAAAGATTTCCTTCATATATGACTTGCTCATTCTATGCCTTCTGTTTATTTCATTTACTATATTCAATCTATTAAGTAAGTCATATAGCTCATTATGTCTGTCTCACACCATTATTCCATTTATAGGTCAAGACATATTTTTTTAATATTTTTCTTTTAAAATCTCTCAGTATTTCTTTCACTCCAATACTGTGCTCCATAAAATAACATTGACCTTATCAGTGTAATGTATAATTAGACTTAGCTTTACTGAGAGTGTCCTTACCTTAAATATACAAAATTAGTTAAATATTCAATTATGCCACTTTTCAACGTCATATTACTTCTGGATTTATCCAAATGGAACTTTCTACCAGTAGGAACTCAGGGCACCGGGCTTGCTATAACTGTAGTAATTAAAATATCCCTTGAAGAAGTTACTGTTGAATACATTTTTCTTAATATATTTTAAATATTTCATAAAGCCATTAATGACCTGTATATAATCAAAAAATTAACAAATCATTCTTAAAATTTAAATTTATAATAAAATCTATAAAAACAATTTTTTTTTTTGAATTTTCATATCTATGTGATATATTTTCTATAGCCTGATAAAATATTTACCACAAATCTACATGTGGATATAGTTTTCAGTAGATCTTTGTAAAAACAATTGTAAACAATAGATGTTTGTGAGAACAAAAATAGTTTCAGGGGAAGTTTTTAAATGCATTTAAAATATGGTTCTAAATTCATTTTTATAAATAAATATAGTAATATAAAGTAGAGTAAAACGTATGTATTCAATAAAAAATATTTCATTCTAATTTTAGATCATGGAAAAAACTCCTAAAAAAAGGGGTCGACCTCGTGTACTTAAGGTAGAAACCAGAAGTCCAGATCCTGAAAATTTAGAAGAAATATTACAAGAAATAGATGAAGAATCTATAGGGGATTATGATTATGTTCCTAATGGTATCACTGATTTTGTTGTAATAAAAAATAACAAAAAAAAAATTAATAACAATGAAGATATTTACGACTTTGATGTTGAAAAAGAAGATGGACCCGTTAAAAGTTAGTATGATTATAAATAATTGGAATTCATTTCATTTTATATAAAAGCAATATTTGTTCAAGAAAATGGAGACCAAGAAAACAAATTGGGAACTGAGTTTACTGAATATGCTTGTGATATATGTACACGATCGTTTAAAACTATACCCGGTCTCAAACGTCACAAAGCTTCACATGACCGAAAACAACAAGAAGCTAATGGTAAAAAAATATTTATACATATAAATAATTGTTTGTTAACAAAAGTCTATGTTATTTTTAAGAAAAAAATAACTTTACAACTTTTTATAATTTGTCACCATAATTATTATTTTGAATAAGTAGCACTATTTTAAAGTAAATGCAAAAAAACTTTGTTGAAAATATAAATTATCTTATTTATTTTTAAAATATAAAATAAAACTCTAACATAAGCCTTTTTAACAAAATTATTTTATAAGTATTTAAATTGCCCCCAAAATATAAGATATTTCACTTTTATAAATAATTAAAAATTATTTATCCTATTTCATCTTATTTTAAAATAAAAACATATGTTTAATTGTGCATGAGAGTTTTTATTTTGGAAAAAAAAATTGAAGCTTTTAGTAGATCATTTAGAAGGTTTATCAGTTAAACCTGTTCAATACTATTTATATTTAAATAAATTTTAAATTTTAGAGACTGTAACTGAAAATATTAAGAAAGAAGTAAAAAGTTGTGACTGTTGTGGGGAAGATTTAGCAACAGCTCATATGGTACGTAAAACTTAAAATCAAGAAATTTCTATTTTACATTAAATTTAAAGAACTAACTATTTTTGTAACAATGAATAGAACAGAAGGGTATTTTCAAGTGATAAAATATCTAGAATTTCATATGTTTTAACTAGGACTGTTAAGGTTCTTGAGTCTCTTAAAAAATTTCAAGAATTAGGTATCTTTCAAGTATCAGGATTGTGACAATTTTTCCTGATTAACATCTAATTTAGCTGTTACCAAAATAATGGCTATTTTATTTACTTTTATACTGTAAAAACTTATAATATATACTTTTACAACTATTACAAATGATGTTCATTATTTGACATTCATGTTAATGTAATATATTTCTTTTTAATTAACATATTTGTTTTTAATGTTTTGTGCCCCAAAAATTCATAAAATGTTATGTAATGTGATAATATAATATTTTTTCGACGAGGAAAATTATTATTAGCTTTCCAGTTAGATTAAAAAAGATTTTAACTCTTATTTATGTAATACTATTTTCATAATTAAAACAAAAAGACAAAAGATAAACTCTACTAAGTATTGTTAATATTATATTTTTATACTAACTTCCTCTCTAAAAGCCATTGCATGTACTAGAAAAGATTGAAAAACCTACATAGCTAAGCATAATGGAATTTAATTTTATTACTCGCACATCAAAGCATGTTGTGGTTTCTATGGGCTATGTAGATTACATTAAATACATAAATTCTTTTAACATGATTATTTTATTTATAGAATGGAGAATTTGAATGCTTTGACTGTGGAAACTTCTTTAAATTAAAAGCTAATATGGAACGTCATCAATTAATGGTTCATTGCAACGATGATATATTAAATTGCCCAACTTGTGAATTTAGCTGTACTGATAAAGAAACATTATCTCAACATTTATATTCACATGCTGGTACATCTAAACCTTTTTCATGTCCTGTTTGTTTTACATCATTCAGCAGAAAATATCATCTTGTTCGTCATAATATGCAAACTGGTTGTGATGGTTCTGAAAAACCAAAATTTCCTTGTCAAGTAAGTTTTTTAGCATAAATAAACTGTATGTAACAGTAGTTAGTAGTTTAAAAGAATAATTTTTTCATAGGTCTGTGGTAAAATTTTCAATCGTAAAGATAATCTTCGAGAACATCTCCGTGCTCATGCTGGACAAACAAAAAAGAAGCGTACTTACAATTGTGAATACTGTAACAAAGAGTTTGTTGGTTCAGCACTTCTCACGGTACACCGAAGAAGTCACTTGGGTATGGTTATTTTAATATTTATTTCGGTATTATAGCATTTTAAGTAGTATGAAATTCCTGGAAATATAATAGCTAAATGATATGATAGTTAAATAAAAAATTAAATGCTGAACATTCTATATTAACATTTAAGATAGTCTTAATTGATTTTATATTAAACATGTCAAACTTTTGAATCTGATTTTGAAATAATTTAAACACTGGAGAGAATACCATTTTATTAACCTAATACATTTTCTGCTGCTATACTTGAAAGTTTAAATACTTTTTGAACAAACTATTATAGAGCTAGTGAATTTAATGAATGGACTTCAGAACAAAAAGATAATTTATTTAACAGGACATAGCATTATCATCTTCTATGGTCATTTTTAAAGGCAAAATGTATCAGCTAAATAAGATGATTTAGAATAAGTTTTATGTTAAAAATTTGTACCAATGGCTCAAACTCATAATTAATTGTGCTTGCAAAATGTAATTATGTATCACCCTGATAATAGGTAACTTCTTTTATAAATGACACTGATAATTTGTCCAAACCCAAAGATCATATGATGTTAAAATTCATATATATATATATATATATATATATGTAATATAATGATATGCTTATATCCTAAAAACAAATTTATTTAAAATCTATATAATCATTTTTATTATAACGCAAACGTATATTACTTGACCAATGCGGATTGTTGTAACTTTGACTTAATTTTTTTGTTTATTATAATTAGCATAGCCATTATTTTTAATTAAAAGATTAATTTTTAAAATTTAGGTAACATAATTCAATTGTAAAATTTTATCTTATATACTTTCCTTTGTAAATTATTTTTTAATAGTATCATTATGGACCTTTTATTATTTTAAGCGTTTCATTATATTATGTACTATTTCATATTTCAATTCACAAACATCTCAGTATCTATACATTAATAATTAAATTTTCAGTATTATTAATAAAAGAAGTTACTGATTATTGGAAAGATATTTAACTTTTGCAAGTATAATTCTAAATATTTGAGTTTGAGCTGTTGGTTAAAATTTTAATAGTAAGGCCTTTTCTAGATCATCCCATTTAGCTAATGGCAAGACTGGTAGTATGTTGCGTAAGTCACTTTTTTTATATAAAAATCGGCTTACATCAAATCATTGTTAATTAAATTTTTTTTTTTATTGATTTTAAACTTGTCTAAAATATATGTAGAACTTATTATGTGGAATTCAATAATTGTTACTAAATTTATCACCTTAACTGTTAATATTTATCAATCATAACTCAATAAATCATAATTACTTTAAATGTTATAATATTATTAGCTTGTTTATCACTATAATTCCAATTAAATAAGTTACTATATATTATAATAATTATATTTTTGGGCTGACTCAAGTAGTTGGGATTAAGGTGAGAGAAAGGAAAAAGAACACTTATTATTATTATAAAACTGTACAAAAATTTATATAAATAGGTTTTACTCAGTAAGGTGATGACTTTATTACATATTTAATTGTTACTGTTGAGTTGTTATCAAATGTAAAACATTTTGTTGAAGTTTTGGTTATTTTTTAAAAATTAATACCAGCTATTAAAAAATTGATTTGCCTCTGCTTTTTGGTCTTGGTACAATTATTACTGGACTACTGTGTTGTACAACAGTAATACAAAGAGCCAAAAGAGTCAGATATTTACTAATAAAACAACTGATGCATCATCTTCAAATACTATTAAAATATTTTGTTTCAAATGTTTATCAACCTGAATTAATTTTATTGAATAAAAATTATTTGATTATTACAAAATCAGTATTTGAAATATATCTAATTAAGTTTTTATAATATATATATTTCGTATAATAAGTTAAAGCAACAAAATAATTATAAAAATAAAACACAAATAATTAATAAGAAATTAAAATGTCAAATAAATAGGTTAACATTGTAAATTAATTTGACTATTGGATATAATGATTATGACTAATGATTATATTATATTAGGACTAGAAAAGTGAATTCATGATAGCTAATTACCTCATTTTGTAAGAAACTTATTAGTTATGGTCCAAGGTTTTTATTGATTTGACTGTGTTTGCTTGTATTTCATTTGCGGTTCTTTTGAATTCATGTATAGAGCATTTAGTCAGTATATGATAAGGTATTATTTTTTATTCAATTTTAAGGTCATAAATGGGTTGTAGTATAATTTCCATTTGTGCATCAGTTGTTACACCTACAGTGACAGATTCGCAGATTATTTAGTTACCCATAGTTTTCTTAGCAGATCAAAGTCTAGCTGTTTGATTATTGGATTAGTGACTAGGTTATTTTCTAAAATCCAATCTTGATACCATTTAAAATTAGCTTTGAAATTTTCTCATAATTTGTTTGCAGTTACCCATGTTTTCTAAACTTACATCGAGGAGTCTCACTAATTTTGCCTAAATTCATATATATATCAATGTATTTAGCTATCTTGGTCCATTTCTAGTTGAGTGTCTGTTCCTTTCGTATCTTAGGTAAAGTGATATTGCCTAGTATTGGTAGCCATTTTAATGGGGTCAATTTTAACATTCTCCTATAATTTTCATTACTGAATTAAGTTGGGTATCCAGTTTGTTAGCACATGCACTATTCAACCAGGCAAGGGCACGGTATTATGTTGATTCAAGTAGAATTAGGTCATCGTTTATAGTAGTTCTATAAATTGTGTTTCTTTAAAGAAAAAGTAGAATTATTGACAAGTGTATTTTGTAAAATTATGAGAAAATGAATTTATTACATAAATTTATTTTTAATACATACATTAAAATCGAGTTTTTTATTTAAGTTTTAAATATCATTTATTTTATAATGTAAATATATTAAATATGTTATTTAATATATTACATTTTATTTTAGGTTAAATTTTAATTTTTAATTTTTTTCCTAGAAGGTGTTAATATAAAAAATGTTTATATAAAGCTACAATATATTTAATTACTCTTAAGTATAATAATTATTAAAAAAAGCTATTTTGAAAATATTAAAATCTCTTTCAAATAGCTTTTCTGTATTTATCTGATTTCTATTCTGAAAATTCTAATAATTGTGCATTATGTACAATAGATATTTAAAATATACTAATAATTTGTTACTTTACTTCATGCTCATCATTTTAAGATGTAGGATATAAATCAAAGGTAAATTACTGAGTTTCATATTTTATTTAACCTTAATATATTTTAATTTAATTTCAACTTAACAGGATATCGACCATATCAATGTGACTTATGTCCAAAGAGATTTCCATCAAGTGGAGCCATGAAGAAACATCGTAGAATACATACTGGTGAACGTCCTTATGAGTGCCAACAGGTATAACCACTAAAACACAAAAATTTGATTTACAATAGATTTTGCCTATAAAAATAAATCTTTATTGACAAAAAAAAACTGATAACAATTTGATTATTGCCTAGTGTTTTGCTAAATTTGCGGCCAAAGAGACATTGAATCGACATATTAAAACCCACACTGCACTTAAACCTCATTCATGTTCATTTTGTGGAAAAACCTTCATTCAAATTTCGCAACTTAGAGCTCATTTGTTTCATCATACAGGTATTTAACCTAATTAATGTTATACTTATTTCATTATGCACATTGATTTATTAATCTTTGATTTCCAAAAATTATTTGAAATAAAATAAAAACTTTTTATTAAAAATAAAATCAACCATTTATATAATTCTAATTTACTAGGTGAAAATGGTTTTACTTGTGATACCTGTGGAAAATCTTTTAACAGACGTTCTCGTTTAACATTACATATAAGATATGTACATGAAGGTGCTGAACCATTTATGTGTAAAGTTTGTAATAAAGCTCTTCTTAGAAAAGAAGATGTACAAAGACATCATATTGTTCATTCTGGAATAAAAGCACATGCTTGTCCTATTTGTGAAAAAAGATTTGCCATGAAATCTTCATTGAAAATTCATTTATTAACTCATACCAAAGAACCTCCACGAGCTTGTGACGAATGTGGAAGAGCATTTATTCGTCAAGATTGTTTGTTACGTCACATGCGTTCCAAACATAGAGATATGTTAGCTGAAATTATGGCAGATGCTGAAAAAAAAAAACTGGAAGCTCAGCTTTTAGGAATGGTTAAAAATGATGTTGAGACAAAATTAAGTGATTTCATTAAAAACGGTGAAACCATTGAAAATGATGACATACATGACGAAGATGATGACAATGATAATGATAATGGAAGTATTGATGAATTAGCATCAAATAGTAATAGCTCCTCAAGTAATATATCAAGTAATAACACATTAGCTGATTCTTTAATGGAATTACTTACTGTTCTTGTGGATGAAAGTACATTGAAAGAGTTTGGGTGGCCGAATACTACAGTTGATCATTTAATAGAATCTGTAATAAAGTAAGTAGATCAATATATGATGTAAATACTGTAGTTTTAGTTGTTAGAGAGGTAGGCAAAAACTGTTCATGCACTAAGATCTGTAGGTCCATTATGCATACCTCTTACTAGATAATATTAATTTGGTTTCTTCACATAAGTGTTTTCACCAATGTATTGTTACCATTATTTGTATACCTAACTCTATATGTTTGTACTTTGGGTCAAGAAGGGCCTATTTACAATAATAATAAAAAATTTCTATGTTCAAATAACTACTATAAAAAATTAAGTATCTAAGTAATATATATGATGTGATTTCCATCTCAGCTTACCATCTAGAAAAATACCTAAATATTATACCTCTGATTTAAAGCCAATTTCTTGTCCATTCAAAGTAAGTGTGGTGAGACTGCCAAATCCTGTTCTCCTGGTAAACAAAACATCTACTTTTTTTGGATAGACAGCTAAGTTATATTTACTACACATGTGTATAATGTGCAGTCTTAGCAGTGTCAAGTATATAATTGTGCCTAAGAAATTACCCACAACTACTATAGCTAGTTATCTGCATAGGCTTTTGTATAACAATATTTGTCTAAAACTAGATGCCATAGCAAAGGAGATAAAACTCCTCCAACATTCAAAATTACTTTGGTTTCATTGAATTTTCCCAAATTTAAGGGTTCTTTAAGCATGATTTCTATCCACTTCATAATAATAAATGGTTCTATTCTATGCTGTTTTGCAAGTTCATACATAACATTAAAAGGTGTATTATCAAAAGTATCATCGATGTCCAGTAATATGCATGCATACAGTTTTTCCGCTATAGCTTTCTCTACTTTGGTAGTTAAATTATGTAAAGCTATGTCAGTAGATTTCCTTGTTTGATACACATGTAAGTTGTTATGTAGAAGGATTTTCTTTAAATGCCTTTTTTTTATGTACCTATCAATACATTTTTCTATAGTTTAAAAAAGAAATGAAGCGAGTCTAAGGATTTTGCTTTATAGTAGTTAGTACAGTTAGGTTTAAGTAAAAACACTACCCTGACCTTTTGCCAGCTCTTAGATTGATAACTATAGGCTAGACATGCTCTAAATATGTTGCAGAGATAAGGACTATTAAATTCGATAAATTAGATTATACTTCTTGTGGAAGTGCCGGAAATATTTTGTTACAGTCTGCATCTTTAAAACCATTTATTATTCACCTTATACCACTTTAAGTTATTACTATCCTTGTTAACTGCCATTCGGTACGGACCACATATTTGTCTTGTATTTTATTTAGCTGTTCTCTGTTATAAATATCAGAGCCAGGAATTAAATCTAGACTGTATGTTCAACAGACCTTATAATGTCTCATCATGTTTGTGAACATATTGTCTGGCAATAGTATTGATTCAATGATTTTGTCCGGTCCATTTCTTAGTGATTGTAAATGCATTAATATCTCATCTCTTTGATTAATGTCACTGCTCCTCCATATAGTATGGTGGACATTTATATCCATACTTAGGATAAGTTCTAATTTTTCATTTTTACAATAATTAAGTAGTGCTAATAGGTTCCTACCTATGTCTGAGAATTCATATGGTGGTAAGTAGTCGGAGGCTTTTTTAGTTTTAGTTATTAGTGATGTGGACATAATGCCAATTTCCTCAGACCTATTGGTCCATTATGCACATCTCATACCGAATTATCTTGATTCGGTTTACACACCTAAGTGTTATCACTGAACTATTATTACATTATCATTGTATAATGATGGATTATCAAGTCACCCCTTGTGGATGACCTAAGAGTCCTGTCTTTCTAGTGAAATTAAATATATCTATGGCTCTTAGGTTTTTGATATCTTATATCAGATTAATAATAATATATATTAATTATATATATAATGTCTTATATGTAGCCTCTGGATATCTGATATCCAGAGGCTACTATAACATTTTTACCATAATAATAGTCAGTTTTTTGCAAATTAAGCAACTAGCTGGTTTTTATTTTATTATTAACTAAAATACAGGACCTTAGTTTATCTGACTACTGGTAAATCAGTTTAAAACTCTTTAAAATTAGTCTAATCCTGCTATTTGTAAGTATATTTTATGCCTTTCAAATAGGGTCCTTAGCCATACACTACTAGTCCCTTTAATGTAAAACAAATTTATTTGTGTGAATTCTATTATACTGTCATAAATTCAGAAAAACTTGTGTTAATATTTATATAAATACTATAATGTTATAATTTGTAATTTGACGCCAATTATCGAGAGATATACTAAATTCTGAAAGTCTGACACTTTTATATATATCTTAAGTTAAAGTTAATGTAATATACTTTATTATGCAAAAAAAAAAATTTCGGACTTTATCTTATCTTCATGATGAAAACAGACATCAAACTTAATAAAAAAAATACGATTTTTGTAAAAAAATTCTTTTTTATATTTTTAACTTTATAATGCTATAACTTTTTTAAAAATGTATGGATCGATATAATTCTCTTTTTTATAGATGCATGATATCATTACCTTTTATTTGGTATATTTTTTTTATAAATCTGACTTTTTACCTGCCTACAGGGGGGGATTCAAAATGACAACTTTTTCACAAAAAATTTACTTTTTCAACTTAAATTTTGAAAGTGTTCCGGAAAGTCTGACACTTTTATATATATCTTAAATTAAAGCTTATGTAATTTACTTTACTATGCAAAAAAAAAATTTCAGACTTTATTTTGCCTTTATGGTGAAAATGGCTACCAAATGCTATTATTGTGTGAAAATTCTCAATTTTATTTTTTTCATTTTTAACTTTATAATACTATAATATATTGAAAAGTGTATGGATCAACATAATATTTTTATGAGAAATAATATTTTTTAATAATCCCTTTTTTATTCGACATACTTTATCTTAATTAAGATATTAATAATGAACTAGTAGATCATGTAGCTTTTGGAATAATCCACCAATTTTTTAAAGTTAAACACTATCTAAAGATTTGCATCGAAGCGTTATTTTTTTTTTTGTGATTTTAATCACTGTCGGATATCATAATACTTGATCCAACTATGCCACGTCACCACTGTGCCGCGACCCCCCTGTGCTGGGTTTTTTTATACATCAAATACTTCAAATATAATCTCTGGTAATTCAGCAATATTTTATAGTTTAATTTTAGTGTGTTTCCGTGTATCATTGTATTATCAAGCCACAATTATTGCAATAAAATTAAACCATTATTTTAATAAATTACAATTGAAAGAATACTATTCCTTGTAAAACTCTATCTATATATATATATAGTCTAAGTTCAATTTTTTTTTTTTTTTATAGGACAATAGGCTTCCATAGCAAAGATTATTAGCTTATTTGCTTTGCTTTATCATCTAAATGTAATTTTTTTGTCTGTCATTCAAAAAATTCATTTTAGCTTAATACAATTCACTGTGTCAAATTGTATTTATTGTTATTTTTTGTTTGTATAGAAGATGTGGTCATATGCCAATTGCACCAGAAAATGCTTCTTATATGTCAAGACTTAGAGATAATTCAAAACAACTATTTTCGATCATTATTGATGACTCAGCAATCCAAACACTCCTTAGTAATCAAACTATTGAAGAAGTTATTGAACATGTATTAAAATTGGCTAAAGCTTAATTGTTTTACTATTTGGTTTTATGACTTTTTTTCTATATTAAGTTTAATTTTAATGAGGTTCAACAGAGTTGAATTTCAATGTTATCCAAATTGAACATGGATTTAAACCATATTTAGTTAACTATTATTCTCCTCAAACATGTTATTTAAATTCTCTTATATAAGTGCTTATTACGGTTTAAGTTTATCTTATTCCAATTTAGTTATGACTTAAGTTCGACACATTATAGTTAGAATATTTTTTAAGTAAAACTAGGCAATAAAACTGGTCAAGATTTCATTAGCTATATGTTAAGCTATATATCCCAGCTGTAAAATAATACCTTAAATTTTTTATATTATTAAATGGAAATTAATATTATTTTTACAAATCTTAATAATATTTTCTTATGAAATTGTAAACATTTGATGTTATATACTCTATATTATATAAGTCAAGTGTTAACTATATAAATATTAAAATATTTTATAACTATTTAAAAGATATATCATTAAAATTACATTACATATTAATAAAAATATAATTTTCATTGTATATTTTTCTCAGTTAATATGTTTCTCTGCTTAGTAATGAGAAGAATTAGCAATTAGAGTTACAGGGTTGTAAAAAAATTATATAATTACATTTATATTATTTAGAAATATATAATTTATGTATCATTAAATGAAATTTTACTGTGTATTTTATTTTATACATTATCACTGACTTGACAATAACTGGCATTTGATAAAATTTTCAGGTTAGATTAAAAACTAATTTATATACACTCTTATTATGAGATTATAAAATGTAAAATGTCGATTAACGTTAAGAAAAATTATTATTTTTTTTTTTTAATTAATTTAAAATATTCTATATTCTATCACTAAAGTTGTTTTTCAGAAAAATTGAAGTAATTAATAATATCCTATATAAAATAATATTCTTGTTGATATATATCCCCAATCATACTATTATTCAAAAAAATAAGTGACAAACAGATGAGTGTTATTTTTAAATTGAAGACAAATTTTATTTATAAATATACTATAGTTAAATTTAACACTCTATCTTAATAAAATATTGAAAATTCAAAAATTTCAAGACTATGTTTTTTATATTCATAACATAGTATAATTAGGGTATTTTTTTTTTTTTTATATCTTCACCTAGTAAATATTAGCTTCGATGCGAAGCTAAGAAGGTATTGGTTTTACTAGGACTCTTTAAAATTAGTCTAATCCTGCTATTTGTAAGTATATTTTATGCCTTTCAAATAGGGTCCTTAGCCATACACTACTAGTCCCTTTAATGTAAAACAAATTTATTTGTGTGAATTCTATTATACTGTCATATATTCAGAAAAACTTGTGTTAATATTTTTATAAATACTATAATGTTATAATTTGTAATTTGACGCCAATTATCGAGAGGTATACTAATTAAAATGAAAACAAAACAAATAACTTATAATTTTATTTTAATATCATATTTATTATTAACATATAGCTAATTATTATTTAATTTTTTTAACAATAATGGTTCTTTGTTTAGCTGCTTTTCACAAAAAATTAATTTTCTAATGTCAACCTCAAATTTTTAGCTTCGATACGAAGCTGAGAAGGTATTGGTTTTACTAAGATGTGTTTTTTTTTGTGTCTGTTACCACTTTTTCTCAGCTCTCACCGAACCGATTTCTTTCAATGATACGTCAAAAGATCACAAATCGTATCTAATCGAAGACATTACCCTCAAAAATTGAAAAAAATTCCGTCATTCCCCGTAAATGGGGGAAACCTCCAAAAAAAATTACAAATTTAAAATTCGCTAATTTTCGAAATTTTTTTTACTAAAAACTGCAATAACTTATTCAAAAATGAACATATCATTATAATTTTTTTTTTTTTTATAGATGCATGATATCATTACCTTTTATTTGGTATATTTTTTTTATAAATTTGACCATAGACCTGCCCACAGGGGGGGATTTATAATGACAACTTTTTCACAAAAAATTAATTTTTTAACTTGACTTTTGAAAATGTTCCGAAAAGTCTGACACTTTTATATATATCTTAAATTAAAGATAATATAATATACTTTATTATGAAAAAAAAAAATTTGATCTCTGGACTTGTCTTCGTAGTGAAAATGGCTACCAAATGCTATTTTTGTGTAAAAATTCTCGATTTTATTTTTTACATTTTTAACTTTATAATGCTATAACTTATTGAAAAGTGTATGGATCAACATAATTTTTTTATGAGAAATAACATTTTTTAATAATCCCCTTTTCATTAAGGATATTAATAAGGAAATAGCAGATCATGTAGCTCTTGGAATAATCCACCAATTTTTTAAAATTAAACACTATCTAAAGATTTGCATCGAAGCGTTTTTTAACACGCTTATATTAGTTTCACCTGAAAAAAAAACTGGAAGCTCAGCTTTTAGGAATGGTTAAAAATGATGTTGAGACAAATAAGATATATATAGAAAATAAGTAAGGACTTAAAGCAGAACCTTGATGCACTCTTACTCTTACCTGAAAACCTTCTGTTACTCCTCCCACACTTTTTACCCTGGTACAAGTGCCATCATATATATCCTCTACTATTTTAATATATCTTTTTGATACTTCTTTTCTCATTAATACCCACTTGAAAACCTATCTTAGGATTCTATCACATGCTTTCCCCAAATTTATAAATACCATACACAACTTTTTCTTCTTTTCCCTATACTTTTCTATTAGTTGTTTTACACAAAATAATGGCACTATTGTTGACTTACCAGGCATACATCCAAACTGGTTTTTAGATACAGACGTCTCATTTTTTTATTCTCTTATCTGTTACCTATTCTCAAATTTTCATACTATGACTCATAAGGTTTATGCCTCTATAATTTCCACACTCCTGTATGTCACCTTTACCTTTAAATATCGGCACCACAATACTATTCCTCCATTCATTTGAAATTTTCCCTTCTAATAAGATTTTATTAAAAAAATCCTTTAACCACCTTATGTCAACACCGCCTAATATTTTCCATACTTCTACTGGCACTTCATCTAGCCCTACTGCTTTATTCTATTTCATTGATGCCACAGCCTCCCATACCTTTTTCTCACTAATTAAATCTACCATTCCCTCGAGTTACATAGACTCAAATAAACTAACAAATTTATTTTTTCAGGAGTTAAATTTAAAAAATGAACAGGGTCGATTACAAACAAATCAAATGAAACTCTGTTATATAAAGTGATTGATTTATCATGAACCATTCGATTACTTACAAAATTACAATATTAAAAAAAAATATTGATTTCTTTTAATTGCATAGATTTTTTAATTTATCATCTAATTACTTTTTGGAATCATCTCTTATAACTTAAGGAGGTATCAACTTTATTTTTTAATGGGAACTCACATAATTAACTTGCTTATAAAATAGGGAAATTATCCAATTAAGAAAATGACTGGTCGATAACAACTTTTGGTCCAGTACTTCGGAAGTTATTATCATTTGTATACGTAGACGGGATGAAAAGTACAATCGGGAAAAGACTAGTAATAGAAATAGCAGCATACACTCATTACTTTAATTTGTTAATAACTTCTGATCCAAAATTTGTTATCGATCAGTTGTTGTCTTACTTTAAATGAAGTTGTAGGAGTTTTGATAGTATGAGTTGGTATATAATTATATTATAGTTGGTAAGAATTATCAATTGTTAATCATATCACAATTCAAGTTATTGCCGCAGTTATGGTACATAGTATGCTTTATGAAGAACAATTCTACAATAAATAGTTACTAGTGATAGTAATTTATCAATTGTGTACACTATCGATTTTTTTCAGATTGTATAATTGTGTACCACTGTTAGTAAGATATTTTTTTAACTTTTTATCTTCTTATTTGGTAAAGCAAATAAGTTTTTTAAGAAATTAAAATAATACCGTATTAACAATTTATCATAAGAAAACAAGAGCACAAGGCTGATTATAAAAGTTCTATATGATAGTGTTATATTTTCCTATCATTATTTAGAATCCTTAGGTCATTTCATCTACTATGGTGTACTTTTGATAGTCCAAAAACTAAATATCGATTTTCATGATAATTGAAACTATCGATAATTTCCCATTTCTAATAAGAACTCAATCGTGGAATATCCTTTAATCCTCATTAATTAAACGATTAAAATTCTGTAATGTTAAGTAATCAAAAACTCATATATATCTCAATTAAAACAGAATACTTTACTATCAATTTCTGCTAGTCTAATAGTGATAAAGTTGAACTCGTCTTACTGTTACTTTTAATACTTAAAGTGTGTGATGTAAAAAATAAATTAAAAGTAAAAAGCCATACGATTTCATTTATTTAGTCATATAAATTTTTTTTCGATTGGGATAGTATTATCCTTAAGAATGTCTTCTTTAAAACAAGTAATGCAAGTTATCAATTCACACCAATTGCCAGCCCAGTTGATAGAATCTAACAAAAGTAAATTGACTGGATTGATTAATAATGGATTGTATGCATGGTTTGCATTTGAAGCCAATATAATTTTGTATTCTAAACAACTTGAATCAATAGTGTCATCCAGAATATTCGGAGATAATTTCAAAGATAAGTCATTAAGGGTAAGATGATTTTTTTTTAATTTGATTTTTTGTTTTATTCAAGTTATACATCATAAATAAAAAATTATTTCTTTATTCTCTTAAAAATACAACAATTTAAGCTTAAATTTCAAGTAAAAAATGTTGATTTTGAGTCAGTAATATTTCTTTACAAGTTTGAATAAATTAACAGTTCCTTAAGAATTTTCTTCTAATCTCATTTTTAAAATGAAATATGTTGCATGTTAAATAATACAATTTAAATATTAAATCCCAATTATTTCAATCAATTATATTTCCTTGTAACCAACAAATGTAGATTTTATGAATTATATTATATTATTATTATTTTTAATGATCCAGATAACATATGTTAATGAATTAAATCATGACGCAGAAAAAATGCATTTTTTATTGGTGGGTTGTTCATTTAAATCATCAGGATTATTATATGTATGTCAACTTCCCACTTTGACAACTGTACGCTGTATTGAGCTGCCGAATCCGGTACTTATAAATAAATAAAATTTGTGATTTCATTAAATATAACTATCTATTTTGTAATAATTTAAGGTAACATACATATCAAGTATTAAAAATGAGTCATTTGATGATCATCGACTTTGTGATGAATTCAAAATGATGTCAACTATACTTTTGGTTGGTATGTCAACAGGTGCTGTTTATGCTATTGATTTAAGATATAGTCATATTAAACAAAGTATGAAAGCTATTTATATTATATTTTTATAAATTGTTTCAAAATTTTACTATTTTTTAACTTAAATGCGTTATTTTAGAATTAAATCACAATGAAATAGTCATAAATGAAAGCAGACCAAGTAAATTATTTATAATTGGTAGAAATGAAGATTGTCAAGAAGTTAAAGAGATGAGTGATGATAGTGATTGTCATTTAGCTATGTTTATTAATGGTATATTGTTCATTGTTGTATAGTTTTTAAAAACATGAATATTTAATTTTAATTTTAATTTTTTAAGAAAACTTTTATGCATATTGTAAAAAACAGTATAATGGCAAGTTAAATTTAAGTGTTTCAAGTTTGCTATTTGTTGAAGAAATAAATACTGTTGCCATTGGTTATTCTACAGGTCATTTTCAACTTAGAGACTGTAAAAGTATGCGAACCATGTAAGAAAAAAAAATTAATCAAATTATTTTGATACTTTAGGTTACTATATATACTAGGTAGGCAGCTTACATAGCTACATCAGTAATGTGTCAAGCCTTAGTTTATAGGTATTGAAGTTTAATTCTGATGTACTAGGATGTAGTTGTTTTTCTATCCTCTCTGGTACAAGCAATAACTTTTAAGATTGGATTTTTATATAACTAAATATGCATAAAAAAATATTTATTTAAAAATTACTTTTATTTTGAAGTTATCTTCTGAAAGAACCCAAATGCAGTATGCCTGTGTCTCATATTGGATTTCTTGAACCCTCTGATGATCCTAATAACTTATGTTACCTTTGGGTAATTCAGTCTGATAACACTAGATTACCACATGCAACTATGATTGCATTAACTTATGAGCATCGTAATATAATGCCTAATGGAAATTTTGCTTATAGTGTAAGTAGAATTAAAAGTAGGGTACAGCAACTAAATATGTCCATTTTTAAAAAAATTTAGAAGACAAAAAACCAAATTTAAACAATAAAAAAGGTTTTTTTTTATTCTCCATGTCAAATTAATGGACTTGTTTGTTTTTCAATTATGTGTAAAGCAGTTTTTACTGAAAAAAAAACATGAAATATGAATTTTCACAAATAATAGGCATATTTTGATTGCTGTATCAAAACCTTAATTATAATTATATGTGTAAACTTATTATTAATGTTACATATTATATTTCTCCCTTTATATAGGTATATCAAGGTAATGGTGTAAAATTAGAAATGTCATTGAAACGAGAAACAGGTATTGGAAAGTGTATATCTGTATCATCTGTGTGCAATGTAAATATGGCTAGAGATGAAACTGGTAATACAATATTATAAATTATTTAATTGGATGAAATTTTGTTATACATTTTGATTTGGATGAACACTTAACGTTCATAAGTAATACTTAACATTCCAAAAATTTACTTTTACCTTATAGAGGATCTACTCTCCTTATATTCCAAGTTCAAATACCTATATATATATATANTTATAAATATATATATATATATGAGGGTATTATTTCCCCTAACTTATGACAGTGTGCATTACTAATTTTTTTCATATTCAAGTAACCCAAAATTGAATAATCAAAATTTTAACCAAAATTCCAACAATTATCAACTTATAAAACTGTTAATATATCATTCAAAATATTTAAAATATAATATATTCTAATTTTAATGTGTAACAGCTGCTTTTTGTTATAATTTTAAGATATGGATGAAGATTGTGAAATAAGATTATTTGCTATGTTATTAGAAATTAGACAAAGTGTTGATTCATTTCCAGAATCTTGTATGTTTTTATTTGATATTAATCAATGGTATAAAGCACAGATGCCATCTAATATCAGTCATCTTAAAATTTCAAACTCTTATGCGAGTTTTGTAAAATTACCAAATAATGTAAATTATTTGGATTTTAATATTTCTACTAAAACATTAAGACCATTTGGCAGTAATTTCAGGAGTAATGTCGAAGAACTGTACTACCCTTCTTCTATATATTTTGGTAATTAAATGTTATAGTATTATATTTTTTTAATTATAACTATATCATTATGATATCTCATTTTGTATTTTTACATCTTCAAATTCATATACAATGTAATGTTAAAAAATTTTTAGAATGTGATTGTTTATTGGATACTGAATTAGTTCGACTAAAACATACTGGAGTGCAACAAAAAATTTTAGATCAATTATTTGAAAAAAATTGGAGAATGTTGATTAATCCTAATTTAGTTTTTAATCAATGTTTAGAAGTTAACCTCAAACCTTTTTTTTGGGATAAATCGGATGACTACAATTGTTATAGTATGGTAAGATAATTTATACTTAAATTAAAGACTAAAAATTAAGTGAATAAAATCACTTGGTCACATCCTGTTTTTTTTTTTTTTACTAAATTCCTCAGTTTGTTTCTTTATTTTTAATATTAATAATAACAAATAGTCCATTATATCTCTAAACCAATAATTATTGCACGTTTTATAAATGAAACTAATATGGTAAGACACTTTAAATATTTCTTCATTAATGATATTCCCAACATTGGTGTCTCATAAAATTCTGAATTTTTACTTATAATTAAAAAAAAATTTTTTTTATTCTTTTCACTCAAAAACGAGAAAAATCAGACATTTTTTTGAATAATAACTTAATGCAAATGAAAGTTTTTTTTTAATGTTCTACATAATATTTAATATTATTTTTAATATTAAAAAAAATAGTTTCCTTAATTTAGTAGGACTTAACCATTTTACTATATTACAAAACATTATAATCCAGCACTGAATTGTAGTTAGAATTCTGAATTAAAATTGCATTTCGATATTAAATATGAATAATAATTTAGTCATCTATATTTACTGTGTATAACATATTTAAAGTTTATCAATAATGATAAAATGATTTTTAAATTATTTGTGAATAATATTATATATTGTTTTACACATATAATAATTGTTTATTATATAATACTAATTTATTATTATTATTATTGTAATAATAGTGACATAGCCATTGACAGCAATATTCATTTTTATAAAATTGGACAAGCAAAAAAAAGGTCCAAAATTTGGAATTTTGTAGACTTTTTTTTACTAGGTATATAATAAAAATTGACCACTTGTGGCTAATTAATTAAGTAAAATTAAAACTATATTAAAAATATTATTAATATAGTTTTAATTTTACTTAATTTTTTACTAGGGCCCCTTTATCATGAAATTCTTGCTATGTCAATGTATAATAATTTATTACATATAGTATAATTTCATCATCATAATACCATTTCATTTGTTTAAGAATTATATGATTACAAATTTTCTAATAATTTAAAATGTTCTAAAACTGATAAACGTTTTAAAGCTTTCAAGGTTTGTTCTATTATTTAGAATGTTTACATATATAATAATGTCTCACTAAAGACATAAATATATCTGTACATTTTCTATTTTTATCATTTTATAAAACTGTTATATTGTTATAGAATGTTTAACTATATTTTTTTTTTTCATGAACTTATTTGAATTCATTTTTTAGTCATTGAATATTTACCAAATGTAAAAATAGATTTTTTTAATTAACGTTATGCAAACATTTTCAGATGAATTATTAAGAGCACTTTTTAAATTTAAAATTTTACCTGATAGTATAAGAATTAAATTGTTTGGAAACATGATCATGTATAATGAGCTGTAAGGGCTAAAATTATCTAATGGTGTATTCTGAAGGTTCTGTTTAATTAATCCAGCTCTAATTACAATGATAGATTATTTATTTTAATTTCATAATAAATAACTTTGGAAATAGTGCATTTTAAAATAATATGAAGTAATTAGTTCTTATATTTGGATTTAATGACCACAGTAAAAATAGTTTAAGCAAAATGTGACTTTTACTTTTTTATTAAATTAGTTATTGAAGAAAACTTATTGCATATGTAATTTTCTTAATTATTATTAGCCGGATCAAAGAAGTTTTGTAGTTTCAATATTGGTTGAAAATAAAATGATGTCTGTATTAAACTCTTGTGCGGAAGAATGGAAAAATGGTACCTATGCATCTAGTGAAGCTACTATTTTACACTTGGTTCAAAGTCTCTGGAAACATGTAATGGTCGTAAAACAGTTTGCTGATAAGCTATGTAAGTTATTAAATCATTTCTTACAAATAATAATTAATCATTTTCATAAAAATAATTTTAGGTGTACCTCTATTTGATTATTCTGGTACCCAATTAGACAAGAAAAGTCAACGTATGCTAAATCATTGTTTATCTCAAATGCAGTGTGTTAAAATTTTTCTAGAAGATCTTCACAATACTTATGGTGCTCACATTACCAATGGTTAGAACTTTATACTTGCATTAGGTTTATTATATTTATATTTTATAAATAAAAATATCCAAACTCTATTTACTTAATGTAAATTAAAAAATTGTTTTTATTAGGATTAATATATTTCATTCATTATTACATTAGTTAATGTTTTTACCAATCCAAAAATAAAATAATAATTTACAAATTTTTATTGTAATTAAGTTAATTAAAAAAAAAATTTTTCAGTTGATTATTCTTATCGTGTTTCTACACTGAGCCTAGTCACACAATATTTTAAAGCAGTTACTTGTTTCCTCAATTATGGTCTCTTACCAGAGTCTTTAGATATAAATGTAGATCATCCAACAGTACATTGTGCTTTTCAATCTTTAATTAATTATTCTAATCAGAGGTAAGATATAATGTAGTTTTTAATTTTTTAAATAATTGAAAATATTTTGATGTTTATAGACGAACTGAACTTGGAGATTCTCAACTATACTTGATAGATGCTGTTGTTAATCATGAAAAAAAAGGATTTAAGCTGATTGAGCAATGGCAACATGAAGGTGGTGAAGCAACCAAAGGAATGTATCCTCCTGCAAATGTTCAATGCTTATTAAGAATTTATTTAAATGCTGCACTTTCTGATCAAGTGAAAAATTATATAACTATTTATTTTTTAATTGATGTCTGCTCTACTCAAGAGTAAGTGTATACATTTATGGTACATAATTTTTCTAAATACTGGCTTAGTTTGGGAAAATATATTTAACTCCAAAATTTAAATAACATATTTCTTTTTACATTTTTTTTAAATAGTTAATTTTTTTCAGCCTTGATGAAACAACCGCAAACCGCATGTGTAATTTTGCAATTGAATTTGATGTTGAAAATAAAATTTTAAATAGTCTTTGTCGTGCTAGCTGGCTATTAGATCATGACATGTTTGAGGTAATTAAAAAAATAACCTTTATATTGTAGTAGTAATAAACTATATTGTGAAATCACTTAAAATTTTATGAAGTTAAAATCATTAAAGTCCAGATTATTAAACTTACAAATCTAGATTGTTTCTATTACTAGTAGTATTTTAGTAAAAAAAAAAAATTGAAAGTTAAGTTATTTAATATTTTTATTATAATTTTTAGGATGCTATGGAAATTTTGTCAAGTGATAAAGACTGGGCAAAAAAAACTAAGAATAAATCATGGGAATGGTTTCATTGGACTGTTATGAAATTACTCGTTTTTAAAAAAGAATATTTTTGGGCCCAGTTTTACATGAAACTTATTAGTGTTAACATAAAAAATGAAGATGATCACAAGTAAAGTTTAAATTATTTATAATTAAATTCATAAAATGTAGAGCAACTAATTTATTAATTAAAATGCTAAAATTATATTAATTTTTCACAAACATATTAATCTAAAATATATTTAACTGCAAACAATTTTTATTAAAAACAGATATAATAATCCTTTTGTTGAAAGTAAAATATTACCAAACTAAAATAAAATGATACCCAGGTTCAAACTAAGTTTTTTTTATTGCTTATCTATATAAATGCAGCATTAATTTTCATAGTCCAATACATATTCTTATTGAATTTTGTTTTCAAGTTTAATTGATCCTTATTTTATTTATTTAATCTTTACAATGTCCAATAAATATTGTAGTTTTTTAAAAAATAAATACTATTATTTTTACATTATTATTATTATTTTTTTAGATTTTACATAAATCTGTTAATAATGAACAACCAAATTTTTGATGCTCTTCATTACATTCAAACAAAACATCCTGAAGAAAAATTATTTTTACTTGAATATTTTTTTAATCGTAAGCATTAAATATATATGTTGAAAATTTATGATGATAGTTTTCTTTTTTTATTGTAGGTTGTAAGGAAGTAAATAAACTAAGGTCTTTAATAAATTATCAGTGGGAATTGGAAGAAGATGTATTTTTAAACTATTTAAAAACTTTAAAAGACCCAGAATCACTTTCTATTCAATTATTATTTTTACTCCAAAGAGGGAGGTAATTTCAATTTTTTTTTTATAAATATATATATATAGTATAATTTTATCTTAATTGAATACAGTAGAAAAAAATTAATGATTCTTACATATAAACAGAGTTGTTCTTTTTTGAATTTTCTTTTTATAGGTACACAGAAGCTGTTGAATTAAATAATAGCTTTGAAAAAAACAGTAAAATAAAATATGATGATGATTTAATGATAACTAGTTTATTAGTTCACGGTTTTAATAAAACTTTACCAAAAATAAATTCTCAAATTCATGGTAACTTAACTGTTAAAAATGTATATAAAAAAACAGGTAAATGTTATTTATTTACTTTTTATTTATAATGTCTTAAAAAACAGTATAAATTTCAAATAATCAAAATTAGTAAAAAATTTAACATTATTTTTATGAAAAAGTATTCTGTTATAATGATCAACAAGTAAAAATAAACGCTAAAATTAGTTTTAAAAAATGGTGAGCTCAAAACATTTATTTTTCTATAACTAGAAAGAAAGCTAACCTAAAGCTTATAATACATTATTTAAAGCAGATACTGGCTTTTAAATAATTTAATAATTTTGAAACCTTTTAATAATTTTGTGTTATAGCATTGATTAAATATAAATAGATAAACTACACACTAAGAAATTTCGTCAACACTTATTTGAACTCCAAATAAAGATAAATTATAGATGGTGATTATCATCAATTTCGAATCAAATTTTTTTTGACCATTAGATCACCACTATACTAACTCTACCAGACAGATATTTACGACCAATATCCAAAAATAGCATTGCTCAAATTTTTTATTGCATAGTCTAACTATTTGTATTTAATCAATTTTTATAGTATAAATATTTTTTTGAGCTTGTGTATTATTATTATTATGTTAATTATTAGCTTGACATAATGTGCATGTTTCTATTCCAGATACTGTGTTAAAAAGTATCAATTCTGATGGTAAATCATTTAATATTATTGACAAAATCAAAGAAAACACTATAAAATTATGGAATTCTCCTAATAAATTTTCCAAACATTCGTAAGAAAATACTTTAAGAGAAAAGGAGTAAACTTTTTTAATTAATCAATTTTTTTAATTTTTTTTTTTTTAGAAATGAAGAGATTGTGGATTCAGTAAAAAATTCACGTAAACGTTCTCCTAAGGATGATGATATTGAGATAAATAAGGAGAAACGTAGAAAAATTCAAGATTGCATTTTAAGTCCACCAAATACTAAAATAACAGAAGTGTGTTCTATAGGAAAACAGGTTCTTGAAATACTTAATACTCCTTTAGTAGGAAAATCAATAGCCTCTCCTCCAGTTGTTGGCTATTCATCAATCTTAAAGGTATATGGAAAATGAACTATATGTTCTATAAAAATAATAGATATTTATTTTTAATTTTCTTTGTATAAATTCATTATACTTGTTTTGTAGTAGTACTTAATAGGTTTCTAAATAACATATTTTTTTAAATGCCAGTATTGTAAAACAAAGTAGTAGTTTTTCAAATATTTTATTGTAATATCAAAAAAATTGATATCTCAATATATTAATAAACAAATACTGCTGTTTGAATCTACCTTGAAACAAAATTTGTGTTATACTTTACTTCTGACTTCTTAAAATTACTCTTATTTATCTATTTAAAACAAAATAAATTTATGTGTGAATTTAATAGAAAACCATTCAGTATTGATAATAAATAATATCATCATGTACTATGAAATCATTACTAACTAGTGATTAATACTATTAAAAGGTATGTTTAGATTTGAATTGTTAGTAATGAGAACTCGCAATTTGTTTATTACGGGACATATAAATGCTCACAATGGGTATCAAGTAACATCTAGATAATATATTATTACAAGATAAGATTTCTATTCTATGTCATTACTAATAATCTATTAAAAAGATTAAACATTAGTTAATTTAAACATTAATATAAAAATTATTTAAAAAATCATCACAAAATTTGTGTTGTTTAAGAAACCTACTACTTAATAAGTATATAATTATTATAAATTTAATTATGTCTGATAAAATTTACTTTAAAAGAAAACAAATATATATTGATGATTAAAATTGATTTACTTAATAAAAATGAATGATAAAAATTAAACCAATGTTTATTTTTTATAGACTGCAGGATCCTCTAAAAAACATAAAAATGTATTATCGATAATTGGTAATAATACGCCTATTTCAAAAACTACATTAAGGTTTAGTTTGCCCAATGAAGAAAACAGTTATAGCAAAAAGTAATTTAAATTTAATTACAATTAATCAAAATGTATACATTTTCTTTTTATTTATCAAATGTAGCATTATTTTATCTCAATTATATTTGTTTGTATAATTTTATATTTTAACTTTTTTATAGATGCAGTTCTATAGGTGTAGATCTTATGAATGATGATAACCAAGGAAATGAGAGTTTTTATAGTGTTAGTAGTAATGATGTTTCTGAACAGACAACTAATATTTCAGAACAAAAATCAATAATTAGTAAATTATTATCAAATGACACTGTTGATTATGAAGTTGATAAAAAGGATTATATGTCAGATGAAGAAATTTTGCATGATGAGTATGAAAAAATGGATACAACAGAAAATAGTTTTTACCATAAAGAAGTACAAAATGATAGCATCCCACAAAACATAGAAACTCATAAATCTGAATTGAAATCTAAAGTTATTGAACTAGTAGAATTATCATCAGATGAGGAAGAAATTAATGAAATTTATAATAATGGATTGAAAAAAAGTATGGTTTATGATACTATGCAAGTAGATACCACTGAAAACAAATCAATAGACAACCATAGTTTGCAAAATTATAATGTAGAAACTTTTGATGTTGAAAAATTCAATTTAACCACAAATAGTCAGACTAATAATTTAAGTCTTCAGGTAGATAAAAGCTCTTGTGATTTATTAGAAAATCAATTGATTTGCTGTGAATCTACTTCTCAAATAAGTAATGATAAAATCCTGAGCTGTTTTGAAGTATCGTCATCAAATAACCATATAGTTCAAAAATTAAGAAATGAGAGCTCATCAGTTAATAATGAAACACTAAGTTATAAAACAGAAACAAAGAATACTTGTAATGAAGATGATGACATAGTTTATTTAAATACTGAAGATGAAAATTCTAGTAATAATACTTGTCCATCCAGTTCATCAAGTCAAAAATCAATAGATGTTAATAGCATATCTGATGATGAAAGTGAATTAGAAATGACAAGGTATGGTAGATTTAAATCTCATGATAACAGAGTTTCTGAATCATTTATTCAAAAAGAGAAATATGATTGCTCTGAAGAATCAGAACAATACTTTGAAGAAAATGTTGAAGAAGAGGATATTGAAGAGGTAGATATTGATGATGATGATGAACAAGAAGAAACTGATGACGTAGGTGTAGATGATGAACAAGAAGAAACTGATGAAGTAGGTGTAGATGAACAAGAAGATAAATATGAAGTAATTGAAAAAGAAAATGTTTATTCCCAAGAAATGTCAAATAATGATTTAGAATTTTATGAAGAAAGTCATGTTAAACATAGTGCAATTAAAGATGACAGTGAAGAATATTGTAATATAAGTTCTCATAATATGGAGATAAATGAAGAAAAATTCCCTTTTAACAATACAAATATATTAGAAAAAAAAAAAACATTTGACTACCAAGATGAAAAATCAGCTGATTCCAGTATCATTGAATGTGAAAATGTTCATGAAGAACATTCTGATCATCAAAATGATAAAACCAGTAATAGTTATATATATCATCAAAATCAAACTAGGATAAATGATTATATGAATCTTCAACTTCAAAACAAGACTTCTGGCGATATTGAATTAATAAACGAACTAAAAACTAATACAAAAAATCACAATTTTGATATGTCACATGGAAAAACTGATATTGATAATCCTACATCATCTGATATAACAAAAAATCCAAGTAATTTTTTATTTGGTCAACAAGATACTTCTGATAATAAACCCATGTTATTGTTTGGCCAAATATACTCATTTCAAAATGAACAACCTGTTGCTATAATGAAAGTGAGTGAATCATCTAAATCTAATTCATTTACACAAATTGAGAATATTCAAGTAAACAATGATACTGTATCAGAAAAAGTAGAAGTTGTTGATGAGATAAAAGATATTTTGGAACTAGAATCTTTGCCTGATAGTAATCCAGATGAGTTTATAGAAACATACAATACACGTTCCAGATCTTCAAGCATACAATCAGAAAATTCTATTATATACAGAGATAAAAAATCCATAAATGTTGTATCAAATTGTCCATCTACATCCTTCAAAAACAAATTTAATGAAGTGGTAGATTCATATGAAGATGTAAGAGTGTTGAAAAAACCAAGACGTAGTTTGCGTGCTTCTAGTGCCGATAGCAAAATCAATTATTCTAATGCAACTCGTTCAAAGCGAGCTAAATCTATATCTAGTTTCTCCTCAACAATACAATCAAGTGAAAATCATAGATCAACAACTAACACTAAAGAAATTCCTCCAAATAATGAGAATTATCAACATGATACAAAAGTATCGGATACCAATAATCAATATTTTAAAAGTAATAATGCTTTAGAAAAATCTTTACAAAATGATTGTAGTATAATTGAGAATGAATTTCTTAACTCAGATATAATATCTTGCTCTACACGTTCTAAATCTCTGTCTAATACCTCATTAAATAATTATGCAGCTATTGAAATTTTAAATAATAGTAATTTAATTAAAGATAATACAGTTAATAAAATCATACCATCTCGTACAAGACGTGCTAAATCATTATCTAAAATTCAAACAGTTACTTTGCCTATTGCCAGTACTAGTTTAATTCAATCAACTATTTCAGAAGTTTCATTTTCAAAGAATTTAAACTGTCAACATAATTTAAAAACATCAAAACATGGTAACTCTGACAGTATTGTTCAACATGCATTGATTGATGAAATTTCTAGCATGAAATCAGTTAATAATGAACCCATTAGAAAAACTAGAAGAAGTGTACGTGCTTCAAGTGAAGAATCATATTTATCTGTAATGACTCCTTTAAAGCGTACCAAGTCTTCATCTTATTTACGTTCAAAAGATCAAGCAGTTGATATATCAATTATTAATGACAGTGTACATTCTAAAACTTTAGAAATGTCCCCAACTAAGAATGCAAATATTCAATGTAAATTAAAACAACCCATATATCCAGACACACCACTACATGATCAAAAGGAATCTCATAAATCCTTCAAATCTATCGTTTCAAAAGTTGATTCTATTACTAGTGATAAAATAATTTCAAAAAACATAGATTCACCTGAATTGGCTACAAGAAAAACCCGATCTAAATCTAAAAGTACTGAAGAAGTCAATCAAATTATTACAGACAACCCGTCAAATCTTTTTCGTTTTTCTGGTATGGTAGATGATAACAATCGTCAAAAAAGAATTTCACTATCAAAAAACAAAATTAAAAATCAGGAAGATCTTGCACAGCCAAGACGAAAAAGTGAACGTTCAAAATCATTAACACCAGGAGAACCAATATATACTAAAAAAACTGCTTTTGGTCTAGAACAAATTCCAGAAGAAGAACCATGTAGTTCTGAAAAAAATATATTAGAATCAGATTATCAATTAGTCAAAAAATCAAAGTTCAATTTTGCATCTTCTAAATTAAAAAAATATTCTAAAAATATTGAATTAAAAGTTGATTTTCCAGAAAAAAAAATTATAACTCCTAGAAGATCAAAATCAGTGCAACCTAGCCCAGCTTTAACATTTTCAACTGTAAAAGAAAAACCAAAAAGAAGCTGTAGTATGAATTTAATTATTTCTGATGATAAAACGCCAAATAAAAATGACTTTTATCCAGCTTTAAAAAAAGCTTTAAAATCTACAAAAAAAATATCAAAAAAAGCACCAGAAAAGTCTTTAAAGTTAAAAAATAATGAAACAGTTATCACAGAATGTAATCAAGATTTTTCTGATCAAGAGTCAATTGAAAGCAGTGATTTGTCTGAATCATTAGAAAAATGCTCCCCAATTGCTGCAGGTACACCAAGACATATGATATTATATACGCCGGCAAAAAAAATAAAAATTCCTATGTTAGGATTGGATTCTGATGGTGGTGATTCATCTACAAGCTCAAATGAATCTACTGATTCCAAAAGAGTGATGACTCGTTCAATGAGCCGTAATGCTAGTTACATAGAGCCAGAAGTTAATGATTCAGTTATAAAAAATTCTAGAAGACTTTCTATTACTGATAGTACAATTATGTCATCAAGTAGTAATAAACTAAAATCTAAGTTATCTACTGCAGACACTAAGAAAAAAACTTATAGTAGTGATACATCAGATTTAATTAATTCACCTAAAATAAACAAAACTAGACCCATTAAAACAACAGACAATGAAAATAAAATAAAAACTAAGACTAAAACATTAAAATCCAAGGTCAGTATTAAAAAATTTATTTATCTTTTGTCCTTTAAGATAATTTTTTTTAAATTCTGAATTAAAGAATAATTTTTTTTAACTTCCAAAGGTAACACATGTTGAAACTGATCCAAATGCAGAAAATTCCATGTTAAAAAAACGTATTACTCGTTCTCAATTATCAATTTTAGAAAGAGATCAACAAATCACATCTAAAAATGACGAGTAAGATTTGAAATTTTTTTTACAGTTTTGTTTACATGTGTGTATTTACACAAAATATTTTGTGAAATTTAAATTTTATAATTAAAACTGGATAAAATAGATTTGTCAAAACATTTTGTATTTATAAAAGTTATAAGATTTTAAAAATAATTTTTCTCTATACCTATTTAAAAATGTATGGCTTGTTATATAGATATTTGCGAAATACTCTAGTTGTAAATATTTTACTATGATTAAACATTATCTTAAATTGTGGTGGTAATATAGTGGCATAGTTTGTTTTGTTATTTTTAATAACTAGATCGAGTACGTACTTTTTGCTGAATTTTACTTTCTAGATTATTAGAAAATCAAGTAAGTACAGTAATTCAAATGAAAGGAAATCAAATTTTTGTCAACTTCAAATGTATATGGTAAATTAAAAAAAAAAAACGCCTGTTTATTGAATAAGAATTTGTTTACTCAACCATCTGTATTCAGTGTTAATTAAATAAGATTAAAATTCATTAAAATATTCTTTACTTTAAATTTGCTTCTAAATAAATTGAAATTTCCTAAAACAAAATTAGTTTTTGTTATCAATAGTTTTATTACATTTCTTAATTATTCTGATAGTTTTGAAATACCCATTACTTTCTCAGTCAAATATTAGTAAAGAAATTTTTTATGCAATGATAATTTGTATTTCAAAATCATTGATTTTAAATGAGTCATCCAGTTGAAATAGGTAAAATTAACTTATCATTTAATTTAGAAAGTATAAAGCAAGTAAAAATTATTTTTTTCAGTATATACTGCCGGCCAAAATTATTAGATCACACAATAACTTTAAGATTTTTTTCAAATAAGATTTGATATCTTGTTGGTTTATTAAATATTATTATAATATTAACAAACATGATTGCTGTAGATTCAAAGAAAACATAATTCACCTGCAAAAAATTATCAACAGAAATTTTAATTCGAATTTCTTTGGTGATCTAATAATTTTGGCCGCCAGTATATATCCTAAGCAACTGGATTACTCAAATACTCATTAATAAATATTTTAACTATGCCAAAAAATTTATTGATTTTTAGACGTGAAGCCCAGAGTTCTAAGTTCACCAAATCCAAAATTAGCAAGCCTAAAGAAAAATTAAAAAAAAAGTCTAACAATTAAATGAATTGTTTTACACAATATATATATATATATATATTCATGTATTCATTATATGTTTAAAAAAATAACTCATTTTGTTATCTGTCAACCTAATAAATATTATTTAATGGTAATTTTTTGTGGTATAAATAAAATAAAGTCAAAAATAAAATGATTCGTTTAAGGTAAATAATTATCAAAAAATCAAATATATATACAAAAATATTAATTTCAGTAAACATTGTTATTAATTGTAATTATTTTTTTTAAACATAGTTCTTAACTTAAATTTTTTTTTATGACTATGTATACAAAATAATTATTTCTCATTTAATCACAATTTTAGAACAGACAATAAAAAGATATTCAATACAAAAGAAACATTACTTAATGTGATGAAAAATCAAATAAAATAAAATAATAGGTAAAATACGCAAGTATGCCAAGTTTTTACATCTGATTTTCAATTACTCTGTGTAATTCTTCATCTCTTTTTTGTTTGGTATGTGACATAAACTGATCTAACTGTTGATCTAAGTCTTCTTTAGAAATTTTCCCACTTTTGCGTGAAAACGCATCTCTAAAAGATTTAATATAAAAGTTCATAATGTTATAAAACCAAGCAAAGCATAAGTTTTAATGTTATTAAAATCCAGTGTTGAATTCAGATTATTTCTCTAAGAGGGGCTCTATAAACATCGGAAAAAAAAAAAAAAGAGGTAGCACAGTATGGATATGGCATAGTTGGGACAAGTTTAGATGGTATCTGACGTTGATTATAATCATTATCATAAGAAACGTTTCGATGCAAATCTGTAGATAGTGTTTAATTTTAAGAAAATGGTGACTTATTCCAAAAGCAAATAAGGCAAATTTAAATAAGCTTTTCTTAATTTTGAAGAGGTAAAATAAGTATAAATTTATATATAATGTAAGTTAGATTCATGTAAATTTTATATTTATTGTTGGACTCATTACTATGGCAAACCCTTATAAGATATTTTAAAATAAACAAAAAAATATAAAATTTGCCTGATTTAAAAAGAAAGTATGAAGGGGTATATATAATGTATTAAGAAAAAAAAAATTCGAAATTTACCAATTTTAAAAATGGTAATTTTTTGAGGATTTCCAACATTTACGGGGAATGAGGAAAATTTTTTTTCAATTTTTGAGTATAATGTCTAGATATGATTTGTGATCATTTGAAGTATCATTGAGAAAGATCGGTCCAGTGAGAGCAGAGAAAAAGTAGCGACAGGCACACAAAAAAAAAAGCACCATAGTAAAATTAATATCTTCTCAGCTTCGCTTCGAAGCTAATATTTTCTAGTCAATAAAAACAAGTATTTATAAATACCTCTTTTTTAGTGGACGTCTTTTATTTTTCTGTTTGTTGAGAGGTTGATTAAATTTATTATTTACTAACTCGGAAATAGATCCTCTTAAATTTATTCTAGTATCTCCTGAATAAATAAAAAAATACTAACATGAAAAAATTATTAAAAATGTTTGATATTAATTAAATGAACAATATTTTAATGATACATAAAAATTCTCATACAGAATTTTAACAAAGAAATAATTAAAGAAGGCATCTCGATCAAGAACATGCCATGTCATGCAAATTTGCAAAGATTTATTGAACCACTATCAAATTCTTTTAAAATAGAGAAAAAAAAATTAATTATATCAAGGAACTAAGGAAAGTGTTTTTTACTCTACAATTGGCTGTTGATTCATAAAATAATTATAATTATAATAATAATTAGATCAATGACTATGATATTACTTATTCGTCTAGGTTTTCTTCTTTCTTCAACTAATGGAACTCTACTAAAAGCAAGTCTCTCGTGAACTGGAATATTCACTCTCTCCATAGGTCTCAAATTATCATGTACAATACTGTTATATAATCGATCACCTACTTTACTCCTTTGAGGAAATAATAATGGAGATCTTTGAAATTCTCTAGGTGAATAGTCCTTAGAAAATTAAATAGAATACATTAAATAACAAAATAAATTTAATATGAAATTTAATTACTGTATCCATAAATAAACTCGATGCTACTTCAGGTCTACGTTCTGGTTCCATGAGAAATGGAAATGTACGTCTTTTTTTTAAAAGCTCTTCTCCTTCAGCTGACTTTACTTTTTTTTGAATTTGAGTAAATCTATTATAAATATTTAATTAAGTATTTATTAAAAGCTGTTAAATTTTATCAAATTTTGATTTTAACATACCTATCATGAAGACTCATATTAGTATTTTTAACAAGTAAATTATTTTTTCTAGACATTATCGTTAAATTGAATTTGAAGTGTTGTACTAAGCAGATATTTTAAGAATTATCATTCCAAATTAAAAATGTTTTTCTAATGAATATTTTTGGGTTTAAAAATTGTTTTATTTCTGAATAAAAATAAATCTGAACAATTAATAACAAGATGAAATTGAATTATTACACTTAATTTGGGTCAATCCAAGTTTTAATATTAAAAATGATCAAATTTTACTGAACTTTAACTTAATAGCAATAAATTTAATAGATACGTCTCTTACAATTCTTTTACGAAAATTGTTTATCATAATTTAATGGAGATGCTACCATTGCCATCAGTAATCAATAAAATCCATTTGAGAGACAGCATATAATTATAAATAAACTATAATCAATTTTTTGAATTATTAAAAATCACAGTGTAATTAAATTATTATTATAAAAATAATCAAACTATTTTTGTTAATATCAAAAAGTTGTTGGAATAATATAAATAAAATTCTTTGTAAAAGAGTTCATTATTGATAGAAAAAAACAGGATTGATTCTAAATTTTACGGGATCAAAACAAAATTCACCTTATTTTTGTAAAGGGATGAGTTTTAAAAATAAAGTCTGGTAAATATAAAACCACAGAATCATACAAAAAATATATATATATATTTTTTATATATATATGATAGAGCACAAAACAAATAAATCACAGTAGACGAACCCTAAGCGGATGATTACAAAGAATTCCTAAATCCATAAAAATTACTTGTACCACAAACCCGTTTCAGATATGATTATGTAAATATTTGTTAAAATAGCAGTGTTGCCAAATTGACGAACATAATCGTTACCACACAATTATTTCGAATGTTCTACAAACTTTTGAAAATATCAACNTTAAATCACAGTAGACTAACCCTAAGCGGATGATTACAAAGAATTCCTAAATCCATAAAAATTACTTGTACCACAAACCCGTTTCAGATATGATTATGTAAATATTTGTTAAAATAGCAGTGTTGCCAAATTGACGAACATAATCGTTACCACACAATTATTTCGAATGTTCTACAAACTTTTGAAAATATCAACAATGACACTAAAAAGCACTATGATGTATTTTTTCAGATTAAAGATATATATAATGATGCAACATAAAAATGTTGGTGTTTTCTGTAGTTGTATGTCCCTAATTAATTAATTTTCCATTTTTAAAATGTTCATTGCTAAAATTATGCTGGAGTCACTTGCTAAAAGATTAGAATAATTGTTAGTTTATGTTTTTCTATTAACAAATAAGCACTAATGTATTAGACCTTTTAAAATTACTTAAATTTCTAATGTATTTATAGAATTGTATTATATAGAGATAGAAGATATGCCATATTTATAGAAGGTCATTTGAATTAAGTAAATAGTAATTTTAAAAATACTTTATTAAATTAATTACACATACAATAAAATGACTTAATAAAAATAAAAGGATATTATATCCAATGAATAAAATATAAATTCTCAATACATACAATATAGCGTGTCAATATGAATATAAATTTAAAACAATAATTGATCATAAATAATATGTGATTTCAATATCGGAACATTTTGGCTAAATTCAATAATTAATTATATTAATTTCTAAGCAATTAAAAATATAAGTTATAATAGTTTTAAACATAATCATTAGGTAACAAGACAATAAAATGCATTACATTATTAACTTGACACAAAAAAATAAACTTAGCAATAAAATTACAAAATTTATAATATAAGTTTTGATCATATCAAAGTATCACAAAATTTAGATTTAAAAAAATATAATAACATTTAAAAATTTGATAGATGCTTGCAGCAATAATTTGGAATTTTACTATTTGGTAACAAGCATTGATATATATCTTTAGCGACCAGCAATCATTAAGTGATTAATATAGTTTTAGCTTAATAAATAATAAAAATAATTGAATTTATTTGATCAAATTCACACACATTAAATTTTTAAATTTTCAATGTTTGGCACATTTGCAGATTGATTTTTTGGAATAATACCCTTACTCTTCATGTAACTCAAAAACTGTTTAGGAACTTCAGCCAATACTTCTTTAGCCAAGTATAGATTAGCAACACTAGGATCCTGATTGTAATACTTATTGAAAGGCACAAACTGCACAATGTCACGCTCAGCTTTAACACCATCAACTGTTTTTAACATCTTTTTATCAGAATCTAATTCTTCCATTGAGTCAAACTCTGCATTACCTATTCCCACAATAATAATAGAAATTGGTAATCTTGATGCTGTTACAATTGCCTACAAAGTAAATAAAATATTTTTAACTTTGATGTGAAATGAGATATTCATTTTACTGTTTTTTTTTTTTTGCTGTTAGCATAAATACCAACTGTCACTGGACCAATTTCAGTTAATGATATGTCAAAATATCACAAATTATATCTAATTGAAGGTATTACCCTCAAGAATTGAAAATTTTTAAAACAGACCAAAAAATTAAAAATACTTTAGATGTTTTTCTTTCTTTTGAAAATTTATTTTTTTATTCAACTTTGTCTGCCCATGGAGGGGGAACTTTTGAAAATGTTCTGGTAAATCTATGATACAGAAACCTTGCATCATTAAAATATATTTTAAATTAAGATTAGTTTTATGATAATGATGTTAATTACTCTCAGATTTCAATCTATACTGGCGTCCCCAATGTGATAACATTTTTTAACTCTAAAATATATTAACACTTATTTTTCGGTATTTAATATTAGACAATGAATAATTTAGTGGTGCAAATTCAATAAAATTTCTGACCTCTAATTTTATACCTCTGGAATATTAATCTAAATAATTACTTGGACTGTTTCCTGCATGTCAGTTATGACACCATCAGTTAGTATGAGTAAAATAAAGTAGCCATTTCCCCCTTGATTATGTTGTGCAATTCTAGTTACATGGTTAATTACAGGAGCAAAATTTGTGGGGCCATACAATTGAACTAATTTAATACAATTGCGGTAAGCATCCAGTACACCTATTTAACAAATATCATAATTAATATTTGAGGCACTCGGAAAACAAGTTGATTAACTCCACTTTTTTTAATGCAACCATGCTAATATTGGCTATTATTAAAAAAAGTAAAGTTAATCAGCTTGCCTTCTGAGCATCACATTTAAATATGACAAAATAAACTTTTTCATGTTTATAATTACCTCTTACACTAAAACAATGTGGATTATCAACACTCATATTGACAAAAAATTCATGAGAAACCTGTCCATAAGGGGGAATTTTAGCTCCAAAGCCAAGTACGGGAAACTGTTTATCTGTGTCGTAATCTTCAATTATAGAAACTATACTCCAAATAGCTTGTTCATAAGAATTCATGGTTAAATTATTAATAAAGTGTAATGATGATGAATTTGATGGACTTCCATTTGATGCTAATCAAATACAAAAAAGATTAATAAAGTTATTTTGTAATAATTTTAAGTAAGTTATTATTAAATTTTATAATTTAAAATATGATTTACCTGTAAAGTCAATAGCTACAGTACAATGTATATCTATACCACTTTGAATATAGTCCAAAAATGAATAAATTGGCTGAATATTAATATGCAAAATAATAATTTCACCTGAATCTTTATAATCTTTCTTTTTCTCCTAATTTTACAAAAATTTTCATTTAATGAAAAATAGAATATTTTTGTTAGCAAATCTCACTTTCTTTTTGCCGTTTATACACTTAAAAGTAGCATTAGGCTCTAGGAGACCTTTAAGAGTTGTATGGAACTCTCCAATAAGGCTGTGATCGCCAGAAGAATTCCAATCAAAACACATAACTTTTAAACTGCGATTATAATCTCCATTACACATTAATTTCACTGGAATACTAAATTGTTTCCAATTAGGAGTAAGGGTATTTTTAATAACCTAATATATAAATTTATCAATTTTTAAATACATACAAAAGTTATATAATAAAATTATCTCACTTCAGTTTTATGAACCAAAGTATAATTTCCTGTGTCTGTAAGTTTGTAAAATTCTAAAAATGGATCCGATTTTCCAAACAAATCTTTATTGTCTAATTTGTGACCTTTAATTTCTAAAGTTATTTCATTATTATCAACACACAGCTCTTCAGCTGTTACAATCAAGTAACTACTTTTTAAATTTCCTTCTCGATTTTTTAATTGTAATTTATTCTAAAAGTATATGTTTTTTATTACTGTAATACCATGTATATTACAAAATACCAAATATTTACTCTTACATGCTTAGTAGCTACAAGTTGCCCTAATGTAGTAGTAACAGTGCCAAGAAAGTCATGGGCAGATAAGTCTTTAGTTTTTGAATCAGAATCGTATATTTTCTTCAAATCGATAACTTATAAGTACTTTAGAGACAAAATTTGGATCTTCATTATTTTTTACAGTTTCAGTACGATGAAATTCTGTCCACTGAGATTTACCAAACTGTTGAGTATGTGTCACACACATAGGATCAGATTTAGACAACACATCAGTTCCAGTTAATCCTCTAAAAATTCAATTAAATACTGTTAACACTATTCTTGAAACAAATATTAGACAAATCTGATAGTAGAGTTCATATTTTTTTTTGATACTAATAAAGGACAATGAACTTAATAATATTATAGGGATGTATCCTAGGGGTTTATATAGTCTAGACACTCTATGAAGTTAAATCACTAGTGTCATTTTATTTAATTTAAGGGTAACAAATTTTCAATGGATCTATTCACATTTAAAACTTTTAACAACGACAATTTTAGTAAATATTTATTATGTTTGTGAAAAATACATTTTTAAGGACAACTAAAAATCAGAGCGCACAACCATCTATCCTGTTGTTCTGAATAAATTTTGTTTGAAGTTGAAAGTATGAAATTTCTTATTTGATCTAACCTTCAATAATACCATATTTAACACTACTCAAAATATTTCAGTACAAATAGTATTTTACTATATCCTTTTTTTGTAAATTTTACCTGCAAGCCAATGAAAGTTCTATATTAGTAGTGGGAATAGCTGCTGATCCAGGAATAAATGACATAATGGATGTATCTAATTTGATACACTGAAATAGATTTAATACTGCTTATTTATATATAGTTATTTTTGTTTATTAAAAATATACTCAAACCCCACAAATTCAAAAACAGTTTTTAATTTTTTTCAAGAAAATTGATTTTTTTATAATCATTTATGAATTTGATACAGTGTCGCCAAATAAAATAAATGAAATGTTCGTATTATACATGATATTTTAACTTGCACTTTAAATACATCTCGATGTCAATATACTAAGTCTTGTTGTTACCACAGACTAGTGATGGTAAACTGCTATTTTTAGCTTCGATGCGAAGCTGAGAAGGTATTAATTTTACTATGATGTGTTTTTTTATTTTAGCTTCGATGCGAAGCTGAGAAGGTATTAATTTTACCATGATGTGTTTATTTTTTTTTTTATTTATTTATTTTTTTTTTTGTGTCTG